GGGCATATTGTCCTTTTAGCTTTAGAGCTAAATGATCATTTTCACTTTTGACCGAGGAACAGTAGAGAACTATTGTTTATCTTTAAATCGGTTCATGCTCAAGTGTTAGTTCAGAGTACTGGGGCCACAAAGTGAAGGATTTCAGTCTCTGTGGGAATTATTTGCAACACTTAAAAGTCCACTGAAGGGCTGCTATTCTGCAAGACTTAGTTATGATGTGTGCTTCCTATAAAACATCCAGTGTGTCCATCAACAAAACCCAGATTTATTTTACAGCTCAGTACAACTCACCACTTACTGTTGAAGTGTAGTCCATTGTTTCCTTCCCTCTAAAAATAAACCAAAATATTCCACAGAAAGTACAAAATATGTGAATAAACACAGACTGTCAAAACCTCAGTGCCTGTCTAGAGCAGCAACACACCTGCACCTGATCACACTAGCCTCCTAAATTAAATCAATCAAGCATCTAAAAATGCATCTAGAGCCACGTGGTGGCCGGAGGTGTAAATAAAAATCATCTCCACTAGAACACTTTCATGAACAGCTTCAATCTGGTCAAACGATCAATTTCAATCTTAATAAAACAACTCAGAAATAATTTGAGTCTTGAATTTTTAGTTGTTTTTTCTTCTTCGCCTGGGGACCGGACCAGTTGTGTTTATTACTGGTTTTATGCTCTTCTTCTTCCAGCTGGTAAACCACTGTGGAGCAGCTCCAGGGGACTTAATATTAGTGTTGAGCTCCATGTAGCGTACACACATTAGGGGATGAACACAAAGACCTACAGAGTGATGGTGCTGGCTCACTCTTCATCCACATCTTTCAGCTGAACCTGCATCTGGCTTAGCAGGTTTTGGTTTTGAAGACATTACAGCAGCAAATGTACTCCATCAGAGAGTCTGTGATGACGATTTTTGGTCACGAGTTTCAAAAGGTGGAAGGTGTCGTGTGGGGAAACTGGCCTTAAGACTGAAGTCAGATGGAAGAGTTTGAAGGAAGAATTAGAGAGTGAAGAGAGCAGCTGACCGACCAAACCAAATGTGAGGTGTGAACTAAACGGCCTGTCAGGGTCCATTTTAATGACGTACAGCATCTTTCCCCAAAGGTCAGGCAACAATTAGCTCTATTCAAGGATAATGCTGGTGTTGTATTACTTTTTTTTATTATCAACCCATGAAAAGAAACTAACCAACAAGTAATTTATCTCTGTATGACTCTTATGTGTTACTTAGGACGATAACATATTTTAATGGAATACAGGAGCTATAGCTGGCTGTAGCCAAAGTGTTAGTAATCTTCTTCACAGAATTAAAAATTCCAATAATCAGATGTGGAATATGACCAGTTTAATGACCAACTTTTAATCTGCAATAAATGATTTTTGGTTAATCAGGTGTAAATTACACACAAATAAACACTATTCACCATCATCACATTAGGTTGACATGGTAAACTCCTTGTTGCCTATTTACGTATCTAGCAGATTCATTCAGACATATGGAGCTTTGTTTAAGCTCAGTTTTTGGTCTCTTCCAACGCCTGACAGATATATTTGGTTCCTCAGCTGCCAGATGCTCCAGCTTAGCTTTTTGCTTTTTTGCTGAAAAACAGCTGCCTTCTGAGTCCAAACATGATGCTCAGAGAACAGTGATAGTGAACTAAAACAGTAAAGTTGACAGCTGGAAAAAACAAAACAATGAGCTGAAGAATGCTATAAAAATCTGAAGAGTTGTAAAGAAATTCAGAGTGTACATAAAATGTTGATTATAGCTGCTTTAAAATGTCTTCTGACTGCCACTATTAATGCACAGCCACTAGCAGCCAGTCAGTGGTGCTGTACATTTCCACTGGCATGATACACTGAAAATTCAGCTAGTCACATAAAACGTGCCAGTAATACTTAAGCAAAGTTAGCTTGCTGTGTCAGACATCAACACTGCAGACAAGAAGACGCTGAGCTCTCTTTCTACCCACTCTGTCTGCACGGGACCAGCTGATGTGATGGACAGTGTATGAGAGTTTTCACTGAGTAACGTCGCCCTCGCATCGCCTCAAATCCACTGCCGTCTCAGACTATTGATGGTGGATTGTGACTCCTCATGGTTTGTAGTCTGCAGCCAGAGTTATACAGGCAACTCCTAGTCTCACTTATTCACATTCCAGTGTGTACAAGCACATTCTGTCGAGATACTTTGCATTATCATACAGTCTTATGTTGCAGAAACAAGAATTAGATAGCAGCAAACCATGGGTTAAAATCATTACAGTTGTGGAAGTGAAAGTGCAAGGCAAGGTTCATCGTTAAAATGCTGTTGAAGCCGGGTTTGTAAAGAAGACATCCTGGAATAGTCTGCAAGAAGAACTGAAGAAAAGGTCTCTGTCCAAAAGCGGCATAACTTCAATGAAGAGTTTAGATGTGAGCTGCTCTGAAGTGAACGCAGGAATATGGTAGCTAAGTGTCCAGAAAAGAGAGAGACACACAAGGCAAAGATGGGACAGACTGTTACAACTGGCACCGGCTGCTTTCACCTCTGTCCAACATCACACACACTTACTGCATTGCACACAATCAGCAGTAGTCTTTCTCTTGGCATGAAATACACAGAGACAGGGGTTGTGTGGGTGTTAAGGGATGATGTGGAGAGTAAACTCATCTGAACTCAGTGTACAGCACCTTTTTTAATAACTGTTGACGCATGACTTAAATCCCTCATGCTGTAACTTAAGTGGTGTCAAACTGATCGTAAGAGGATGCAGTCAGGAAAAATAATCTGTCATACTTTTGGAAAATCTATATTTCTTTATTTACACATCATTATGCGTCTGTCCACTTTGCTGTGTTGAGTCTGCCGTGTTTCCTCCGGCTGCTTGTGTGTTTATAAACTCCACACGCACCCACTGATGGAAATGCTGCACTTCATCAGGTTCAGAAAACCTGTTGAATCGGTTCAGTCTGCACGTGGCCGTCCATCATCCATCCAACAAAAAGGCTGCTGTTGCTGCTGCCGGGTGAAAAACGGAGCTCAGAAGGAAGCTATCAGCTCTGCTAACATGAGAGTTATGTTATAAAAGATAATGGGAAGCATGTCATTGATTTATTTAATTGTACTTTAAACTAGAAGTTAAAAGTATCAAACAGATAGATGTTAGGTTACAACTTATAAAGACTATTCATGTAAATAAATGTGTGCAGGTTGGAAGACCGATGGAGTCCAGCTGCACACCTGCAAACCTCCGTGTGTCTACCGGCCAGTAAACGCCCGTGCGTGGAGTCTTAAGCTGAAACGGTGTTTAACTTCTGCCCACAATAACACAAGCGCGAGACATTCAGACTGGCTGCTTGCATGACTGGCTGACATCACTTCTGGCTCCGGCTGCTGTTTGCACTGCAGCCTGAAGTCGCCCAGACAGAGACCACAACGGCATTAATAATAGTGTGAAAATCAAGAATTAACACTCAACGGACCGGACAAAAATAACACATTCAAACTTGAGACAGTGCCTTTGTGTGAAGATATCTAAGAAGTAGATACTTCTAATATTCTATAATATTCCACTAAAAGTATTAAAGTAAAAGAACTCATTAGGCAGAATCGGCTTGGAGCCAATTTTAGATACTTTATACACTACTTGGTAGTTTAGTAGTACATTAATAGTATATTGTGTTTTTTATGTAAAAAGTAACTAAAGCTGTCAGATTAATGTAGTGGAGTAAAAGATACAAGATTTACCTCTAACATGTCTGATATCTCATTACATTTCCATTTGAAACTGTAAAGTTAACTTTGCTCCTTCAAATTGAACACTTCAGGTTCTGTGCAGGTAAACCAGCTAAAATCCAGATGTATGACACAACTTTTATTTTAAAGGCTGTAGGTTTCAGCCAGCAGTGAGGAACCCCGCTGCAGAGATGAGGCTGTGCTACACCAATAACTAAAGAGGCTAAAGGAGCGTTCAAGGACAGCGTGTTCAAAGCAACACTACTCCATCTAGTGGATAGTTTATTTCAAGGTAAACCAATTATTGTTTAACAATAAATAGTCCCTTTTACGTGTGATTCTTTCACATAAAGTCACAATTCTACCAAACAAGTCTAGCGAAGCGATCAAAAGACTTTGTATGATTTCATGTCTTCTACACAAGCTTTTCATGTTCTATACTAAACTGACAAAATGAAAACTTGTGTACCTGAAACACTTTCTTTGTATACATTAAGATTTAATTTGTGTTGGTTATTCACATCGAGATCTACAGAAGTGCACATAATTCACATTCATTGTGGCTTTGGGACAGCAGTGTAATGGCACAGTACAGGCTTTAATATAATACAAAATAATACATAATAATAATAATAATAAAAATAAAAATAGATTTTCTGCTCAACTTCATTATTTTTCTCATTAAACTTACATATATTATGATGTTTTAATGACATATTGTATTCTTCGGTGAAGACAAACCAGCTAACAAGAAACTTTTCCTGTTAAAACAAAATATGCGAATATTAAATGTTTAACTTTAACAAGAAGTTATTATATGTGTGAAAGCAGATGTGTTACATATGTACACTATTTACAATTGTAAATATAACTTTTATTTAAGTAATTTTTGCACAGAAGATGTAAATCCTACAGGACTTTCCTCAGAGGTGCTTTAATATTTCAGGATATCAGTGTTCATCTAATCTTGATTACCAAAAGCACTTATAATAGTAGATGATTAATAACTTGAAAAATGTAAATAGAGATTATGTTGCACCTGTGACGCACAGCTGAGCCACAGATGCTTTCAGTGACTGCTCTCTAACTGAAACTAAGGATGAAAGCTACAGGATTCCTCCATTAATATGGATTAATCAGCCCTCTGCTCTTTGTAATGCAGGCTGAATGCCGTATGCAGCACCACCACACTCCTCCTCCCCTGTCCTCCTCGTCACATATCAGCCTTTGCACTTGCCCAAATATAAACTAAGTTTCTTGGCGCATGGACAGATTGAAGTAGGGAGGAGTCTGACACTCTCAGTTCAGGTCAGGACAGACTGAAGGGCAAACAAGCAGCAAGGAGAAGAAAATAAAACTAAAGTGGAGTTTTCCAGATAAATAAGAGGATATTAAAGCATATTGAATACTGCCTGCCTGAAGAACAGTAAGTTTTTGGCTGATTTTCTTGTATTTATATTATTTTTAATTACTTGACACACTACAACACTAGTAGGCCTCGACTGCCTGCTGTTGTTTGTTTGTAGGGGGCCATATGACAAACGACTCATTAATTCTGCACATTACTTCACATGTGAGAAATGTGTGATGTTGAAATAGCAGTGCACAGGTTCTCTTTAGTTAATCTCGTTATTTCAACATTGTTCTGCTGTGTTTTGGCTCAGTGTAAAGCTCGTGAAGGCTGCCTTAACATCGAAATAAACAGAAGAACCAACATGTGTCATATTTTCTGGTGCATAAGACTGAACTGAACTGTGAAGGTTTCTCAATCCTTTCTTTTCTCCACCTCTACAGATGTCTGTGTCTCCAGCTGCCTTGGCTGCTCGACGGGTGCTCGCTGCTGCGTCACATTCAAGCCATGAGGGAGGAGGTCAGTGTGTCTTTACTGTTCCTCTCAAACCAAAATGCATCAACGCCTCCAGATTCAGAGCTTCTGCCCCTCCGAGTCTAGTGCTGAACATGAAGTGAATGTCTGTAAGGCTGGCAGGGACCCATCCTGCACATTCATTCTACTTGGCAAATGATCAGGAGTCCTATTTTATGATTGATACGCACTCTGTAGACGAGAGAGACGGCTGCTATCATTTCAATTTCTTCCTTCCCCTCTATGCCGTATTCAGTGCTTCAGTCATGCGCTTCCTCTGATTCTGTTTTCCACAGCGAAAACCTGGAAGATCCTGACCTTTGTGTTGGCCATACCTGGTGTTGGTGTGTGCATTGCCAACGCCTACATGAAGATGCAGGCACACTCCCATGACCAGCCAGAATTTGTGCCATATCCTCACCTGCGTATCCGCACCAAGGCGAGTCTCAAACCGCCTGCACCGAGATGTGTAATATTATGGGATGAATATCAGTTGTTTTTGTCCCCTGTTGTTGACTTTCTTTGTTTTTATGTCTCCTTCCAGAGATTCCCGTGGGGCGATGGAAACCACTCTCTGTTCCACAACCATCACACCAATGCTCTGCCCGACGGCTTCGAGGAATCCCACCACTGAGAGGATCAGCCGTGTTTTGCTGCTTGTATAAAACTGCAGTCTGCAGTGTACTTGGCTTAATTATACTGACCGAGGGGCCACCTAGACATGAATAAAACCACTTTGTGTCATTTATTTTGTTTTGACCTCACGGTGTCTTTTTAGATATCAACAATAGGGGGCGGCAAATATCCTGCAAATAAGGGCTTTCAAAGACTAAAAGAAGAGGCAAGAGGAAAGTGTAGAGTGCTACAGAGATGATGTATTTTTGTAGGCTAACCTGCAGGTTAGCATCACACTGGCTACCTCCACATAAAGTGTTGTAAATATTTTAATTGGATTTTAGATTATTGCAGAAAAAAAGCTCTGTGGCAATCGAACGTTTATGATACTTATACGTTTTGCTGAGTAAGATAATCTACACAAATAAACACCACTTTTATGATTTTTGAGGCGTGAATGCAATCTGCAGAAGTAGAAAGTTTACGTTAAGCTTTAAACAAACTACACCACAGTCACATGACTTCACGTTTCCACCACTACGCTTCAAACTCGTAATTTGAATTTGCGCGCTTACCTCTTCTACAAAAGCCTTTCCTCTTAGCGTGACATCGAGCATAAATGTACAAGTTCGAAAGTTTTAGTTAGCATAGTTTGCAAGAGCTTGAGTTCAAACACAAGACTAGTGAGTAGAGGCGTGTCCGTGTTCGGTTTTATAACATTCAATGTCCCTGACAGACTGTAGTCTCATCTAGCCATTTGTTAGCAACCACCGGTTTTACGCCACGTAAAAGTGTCAAAATTCATAAGAAGGGTTTTTACTTTTTACTGACGCATCTCATGTCAGAATCTCAGATCTTATTTCCCACTAAATGAAAAGTCATCACGGCTCGTCCTCTTGAGACCATGAATCTCTAACGAATGTTACGACAGTTCAACCGATGGCTGTTTGACTCCGATGTGTAATTGAATAATATAACCGACTGATTACTGCGGTCGCTCTGCATCCCGACACTCCGACAAGAAGAAACCAGAAGCAAAGTGATGTTCCAACAATATATTCAGTGGCATAAGTTGATATGGGACAGTTGTGATCTATACATTGTATATCTGCTAATCCATATTATCTCTATGTACAAAATAAACAACTGGCTACTAGACCAACCCTGATAATTCCAGTACTTCCAGCTTAATGACATTTATAAATCCATCTCAAGACTTTTTCAAAAAAAAAAAAAAAAAAAAAAAGAAATCACAATGCAAATGTCATTAGTAAATTATAAGACAATTATGTCATGCTGGGACGGGCTACAGTTTATATCAGATTACATCAAAACTAAATTGAAATTTATGCTTCCAGTTTGTGAAAATAAATCAACAGTCAGTTCATACAGCAGGTTTAATCAGGTAATCATGCTGTTGTTGTAACCTGCACGTATACCTTCCAGACGTTTGATAAAAACGAATACAATGGAAACTCTTCCAGAAGCTGATCATGAGCCCCACAGTCGACTCCCACTTAACCTGCGCCTTCTGAACTCATGCCACAAACAACTCAACTCCATCTTTCCCTCCTGGTTCAGCTCAGAGCTACCGTGGTCAGACTTAGTAGATCCTGTTTCAGAGTCTCTGTACAGTCGGCCTCTCTGGCAAGTCTGCGAAGGCAATCCCCAGCAAGGGAGGAGGACACGAAGGGCCGAGGACAGTCCTGACAACCCAGCAGCAGAGACAGGCAGGCCCGGCCCAGTGTCGGGTAGCTGTACCGCTGGGAAAACCAGTACATCCGGGGGAGGAGAGCAGCCAGGGATTCACCTCCTCCACCTCCTACTGAGGAAGAACGGGAGTCCTGAGCTGCTGATTTCAGACGCTGTGCTGAACTTTTCAAGTTCTTTGGTCTTAACCTCAACTCCTCTGGATCTAGTGATTTGTCCACCACTGATGCACGGCCTGATCTGGAGGCTGGAGTGGCACTTTTGATTGTCTTATGGTCCAAAGTTGTATCGAGTCCTCTGCTGGCCTTTTGAACGGTTCCAGAGGTTTTGTTTCTGTCTGTCTGGCGCTGGGAACAGTTTGGTTTCTTTGTCTGTCCTGGTAGAATTTCTGCCTGCGCCTGAAAACCACTCAACTCTAACTCGGATGTTCGATTAGCCAGGTTCTCCTCGGCAGACTCGGTGCAGTCATGGTCCATTTTAGATGAGGCCTTTTCAGCTCTGTCTACTGCAGAAGCTGATGCAGCTCGACTAGCAGCCTTGGTGGAGCAGGACAGGAGAAGAGACACACAGAGAGCCTCCAACTCTCTCTGCAACTCAGTCACCAAAAATCTGCAAGCTCCAATCATCATCTCGCCTAAAGCGGTTTTCTGGAAAGCAAAGTCTTCTGTTGAGCGACCCCCTCTCTCTCTTTGGCACATCCCCAGTCCTTCAAGGACTAATTTGTCCAAGACCGGACACGGTCCTCTCCTCTCGTCTTCATCACCTTCCCTGGTCCTTCCAGTGTCCTTGGTGAGGCGACATCCATGCAGGTAGTGCAGCACCGGCAGCAGCATGCCTGTGCTGACATCTTTGATGCGGATGGCTTCTTCCACATTACCCCGAGCTTCTCCAAATCCGCCTCTCAACAGAGCCCAGAAGTACTCAGAGCCGACCCTGTTTGTCCCCTCCCCCCCAGCCACTGCCTCCCTGTTGGCTCGGACCTGAGTCCCGTCGTCCAGCAACAAGAGGAGGTCAAAGGTGGAGACTCCGTAGGGACAGGCGTCGGCGAGCCGAGGCCTTTTCGAGGGAGGGGGTGAAACTTCGTCGTTTTCACTGACCGACTGTGTTGCGACTGGACTCGGATGTTTTTTGTCGAGCTCCATTTTGATGCCGACCGTCAGGGTGGACAGGCATCCGATCAGTAGGGAGGAGAACAGCGAGTGGAGCTGAGAAGTCCGGCCTGAACGCGAAGAATTTAACCAATCAGAAAGAAACTTCCCACCTTCAGTGGGCTGGTCTTCATCCTCATCATCGTCATCGCAGCCAAGAGGCCGCAGAGCCAAGAGCAGCCCGCCGCTGTCCAAAAGAAGCTTCTTCAACAAGGACTTGTTGCTGTTGGAGAAAAAGAAGGTTACTAAAGACCAAATATGATCACTTGTTAACCAGATTAGCAGCCCAACAAATAAGACAATTTCTATAATCTTATGATATTCCAGTCATTAGACTTACAGACTCTTATCGTTGCTGAACTCATATTCACATGTATCTACTACTCACCTGCTGATTAACGGCAGAGACAACGCACAGTTCATCTTGTCGGACTCAGAGCCCGACAGCATCACGTGGGCAACAACCCCAGAGCCGAATCCAGACTCACACTGGACGCGCAGATTACTAAGAAGAGTAAAACCTGCAGAGACAGTCAGCGCACAGTTATAAAATGCTCTTGTATGAAAGCTTGGCTCTCGAGTGTTATTTACGTCAGAAGTACGGACGCACCGATCTGTACCGGCCCAGATACCGACCTCATTAAGGCCATCGGCCAGATGTGACTGATCCACAGTAAATATTTAAGATCAAGAGCAATTGTATCAGCTCTGTAGCAGCTGAAGGCTGAGATCCTAGTTTACGGTATCTGGACCGGAAAGTTTGATAGTCGCATCCCTCCTCAAAAGAATTCATCTCAATGATTTAAATAATCTACTAACAATACAACATTAATATAGTGTGAATTATCTTTAACCTTTATAAGGCAATGGTAAAAAGGTTGAAGGGTCAAACATATTTTCTAAAGTTACTGTGTTGCAGATGAAGAATCTTTATCTCACCGAGTTGTTTAACTTTGGCTTTCACTCGGTCCGTCTGTCTCTCTTGTCCCTCAAACCCTCCCCCTCTCTGGCACAGATGGTGACGAATCAGCGCGACCGAGCCGGTTCGGACCAGCGCCTGCAAACAGTTCGGGTTGCAGCTCAGCCGGCAGAGCATCCGGAAGCACCTGCTGCTCGGGTCCTGGTGCTGGGTGAGGTAGTAGAGCAAGCCGGACATGACTCCCGAGCTGATCAGAGCGGCCGACGGGTCGGTGGCGTGGGAGAAGCGCGACAGCAGCAGCAGGATGGGCGACTCGGGCGTCCAGGGTTCGGGGTGGTAGGGGTGGTGGTAAGCGTTCTGGCGGGGCACTGACGGAGGGGTATCAAGAGTGACTTTAGTCAAACAAGCTGCTGAATGAGTACGCTGCCTCCTTCTGTGAGGGGAGGAGAACTTTGAGGGAGAGACTGGTGAGTGGGTTGTTTTAGTGGGAGAGGAGACGGTGGAAGAACTGGGCTGGGTTTGCGGTGTGAGCACGGTGCAAGGTGGAGGACTAGAGGGAGGCGGATCAGTGCTTTTACATGAGGATGACAGTTGGGGCTGGGCCGAAGAGGACACGGGGGAAGGCTGAGCAGCTTTTTTGGAAGAGGAAGAGGCAGTAGGGTTGGATGGAGAAGAGTTTTTAAGAGAGGAATAGGAATCGGGGTTTGGAGAGGAAGTTTGAGGGGATGGAGCCGTTGGGATCTGAAGATTCCCCCATTCTCCTTCAGCACCAGAGGAGTCCAGCAGGTCCCCCTCTGAAGAGATCAGTCCCTCAGACACCAACCAGGACCTGAAGAGAGAGCAAAACACATGTAGATAAACAATAGAAACTAGTGGAATAAAATTCACAGAGAAAATAGATAAACCGGTGCTTTTAATTGTCCATACCTGAGACTTAAAAAGCTCGATGAACAAAGACCTGCTTCCTCCTTCTTGCAGCCCTCAGGAGGAGGAGGAAAGTCAAAGGAGTCATAACACGAGGAGGGCAGGAGCTCGGAGGGAGACATGCTAGAGGAGAGGCTCACATCCATCTTCTCGGCAGATTGTTCCTCGCCTCTGGAGAGCTCAACCAGTCGTGCGACCAGCAGAGGGACCAGCCCCAACTCATGCAGCTGCTCCATGGCAGATTCATCAAAAACAAAGTCCACACAGGCCAGGATGGCTAGTCGGGAGAGGGGATTACTCTGATGGGCAGCCAGGAAGCCAATCAGCACCTCCAATCCACTGCTCTCCTTCACCTTGGCGCGGTTGACCGCCTCCTTGCAGCACAAGCACAGCGCCTTGAGGAAGACTCCAGACTTCAGGGGGTCCCTCTTGACCTCCTCTGTGAACTTCTGAATGACCCCCAGGGACCCCACGAAAGGGCGAAGGCAGCCCTGGGAGCACATGTTGGCCAGGGTTTTCAGCGCCAGCTCCTCAAAAGGTTTACCACTCTGCCCCGACGCCATGGCGCCAAGCTGAGCGAGGACTCCGGACCGGGACACCTCCCTGGCACATTCGACACCGCAGCCCCAGGTCAGCTCGTGGAGGGCCTTGAGCGCCGCCCGCCTCAGCGCCTGGGGGTATTCTGGAGCAATGAGCGGGGCGAGAGCCGTGAGGGTCCCCTGGGTGAGCAGCGACAGGCGGTTAGAGTGCGTGTCCGAGAGGTAGAGCAGAGCCCGAGCAGCCGACTGAGCGCACTCCAGTTTTGGACAGGGCTCTTTGGGCGGAGCAGCAGTGGGGGAGGACGGGCCCGAAGAAAGAGACACACACAGGAGGAGGAGAGGAACACCACCTGGAAGAAGAAAAGAGGATGGTTTTATAACGATACAGCTACACAAAAACATTTCACAGATCATATCAACAGTTTCTGCGACCATTTTTAATGTGAATAGACATTTCCTATTTTTCCCAGTATGAGTGTCTGTCTAGTATTGATAACTCTTATATAGACATAGTTCATTTAGAAGTGTGACATACAAACTACTACAAATATGTAGAATTTTCCCTTCAAGTAGCTTTCAAGCTGCATCTCAAATAAGTAATAAATTGTGAAAATGTTAAATAACGTTCGACATTTAGGACTTACCAGCAGAGTGGATGAGTGCGGAGCTCTCTGGGTCCATGGCCAAGTTTCCCAAAGCCCGGGCTGCTCGGTTCTGGACCGTCTCCAGAGCCATATTCTCCTTCAGGATCTCCACTGGACGGTCAAGAATAGTTTAGAGATTACATGCAATGAATTGTGAAAATGCCAAAGATTGCGGCAAAAGTTTAAAAAAGTAATTATTCTAAATGTAAGTGATCACTTACCGACAATATTGATCCCATCAAGCTTACGGACCTGTAGTGGCAGACATTTCATTAAACGTTTTAATGGGTGGTTTAATAAATAGAGCTTCCACTATCTTCTCTATTATTCATTTTGTCTCACCTGTATGCGTGTCTGTAGCTCCGTGCAGCAGTTTGCTAAGATGCTCAGAGCTAGGTCCAGGGTCTTCCTGGAGCACTCGGGGTTTTTGAGCAAGTCCAACAGGGGCCGGAGACCACCTTGAGTTCTGAACCGGGCAATGCCAGCCTTGTCCCCCTTGATGTGCTGCGTCCGGATAGCAACCAAGGCTCGCCACTGAGAGACCCTGGACCTCTTGTCCCCATCTCTGGCACCGCCGGAGTCAGCCCTGCCATGCCCCTGGTGTTCAGTCCCTGGTCCAGGTTTAGAGAGGTGAGCCAAGCACCAGGTCAGAGAAGCCTCTGGAGAGGATGGGTGACCCTCTCGAGAGGGGGCTCGACATTGTTTCCCGTCACCTTGCACAGGTGATGCAGCCATGGTCCCCTTTGCCTGACAGGCTGCTGGTTCAATTATCTTAATTGTCCTCTTCTCAGTAGAGACGGATATGAATCACTCTGTGGAGCATCACTGGACGCTTACAGTGACACACCGAGGATTTAAACATCATGTCCATTCACTTTAAATAGTTAGCTTCTTTACTCAACTGGTTATTATGTGCTCTTCATGAGTTCATTCACATAGTTGTTTTTTTTCAAAGTTTCCGCAAAACAACAAACATTCTGGTGTGATCAGAAAACTACAGATACCATGAAAAAGGAAAGTTGTACCACCTGACGCCGCGCTCGCTGATGGGAGATGGAGTTCCAACAGCTTCGGTCCACTCCCTAAAAAACAGGCCTCACATCGTGAGAAGGCCGAACAACCGTTATTCTACGTGGTAGACGTGTATTATCTCAATGGAACATATTTTCACACATCAAGTGGCGGATTAAAGCTCTAATGGATCAATGTTTTGTTACCACTGGCCGAATACTTTTTGTGGAACAAAATGCAATCGCCTGTGTTAGCCGCTAACGCCATCTTTAGCCAAACAACAAAACAGGGGCGGTTGAGGGAGGGAGCAGGGAGTGAAGAGGTGGGCCGGTGAGATATACGCTGGGAGTTGTAGTTTAAATATCGCTTCCTGTCACCTCCCCCAGTACACTTATTTCCTTTAAAGAACTACAATTCCCCGTGGCAGCGATAAATAGCCGCTTGTCTTGATCAATTCGCAGCGTTTAGGGATTGTAGTTCATCTGGTACACCAGAGTACTCAAACGCCCGGTTGTAACAACGAGAACGGACTACACGTCCCAAGCTGCTTAGCAACGTTGTTATAGTCATCGTTTTACTCGATGCGAGAAAAGGCATCGGTGCCTCTGATATGTTGTTAAATTCCTCGCTAGAGACGCACAGCTAATAAAAAAAAAACAACTTTAACAGTTATTATCTTAACATCATGGAGGTAATCGAGACAATTGTGATCCAAAGTACTGAAGTGGAAGAAAAGGAAACGGTTGTGTGCAGCGTGGACACGGATAGAAGTAAAGCAGGTTAGTAGACTACATCATGAAGTTAAACAGGTTTCATCCAGTCAGCGCGTGAAGCGAGGAGGGCCCGATGAGTGCGCAGTCTCTGCCTATTGCAGTGATTATAGTCATAAACCGTGACTCGCATGTTACTTTAACGGCAACTAAATGTCGTCTTATTACCTCATATTGATGTAATATCAAAAAAATTAAGACGCTTAAAAAAAACAGGTAATAGGTTCAATGCAATATAATTTAACAACCAATGACATGATACACCTTTGTTCTCCTCTCTAGAGTTCATATGGACACTGCAGGCCACATGGCACCTTGTCAACACCAGACTAGAAATGGACCCGGCTTTTGATCAGCCGGTGTGCAAGAAGAAGAAACTCTGGGAGACGGTGGCAGAGAAAGTGAACGCCAAACTGAGAGAGTCGGAGGTCACCGATGTCACCGTGAAGGCCTACGAGTGTGACCTCAAGTGGAGAAACATGCTGGCCACATACAGGAAGAACTCCGAGAGGGCCAAGAGGCTGGGGGCCTCCAGCGTCCACTGGGAGTTCTTCAAGGCCATGAACGAGACCCTGGGTAAGAGCAGGGAGGAGATTGAAGCCCAGCGAAGGGCGAAGCTCAGCGGGACCAGAGTGGGCAAGGCCATAGCCAGCAAGAGGTTCACCCCCATCCTCCCTAACCCTCCTACAACAGCTGCTCCCTGCTCCACGGCCAGGCCTCCACAGGACGTCCTACAGCTGTACATGGAGCTGCAAGAGAGGAAGATGAACATGTGGGCCCAGCAGAAAGCCCTGGAGGAGAGGAAGATAGAGGCCATCAACAACCTGGCCCAGGCCATCTCCAGCCTGGCTCAGAAGAACAGCACACAGATGTCAAAGGAGGGACATTAGGCCAGAAGAGATGCGGTTTTCTGTTACCAAAAACTTTTATCATCATGCACGAGGAGAACTGTTTGAGTGCGTTTGTTATAAATGTTTTTAAGGTTGGTCATGTTGGCACAGTTTTAACTGTTACAGGGATTAGTTTGGCCGGTCTGAACTTAAACCCGACACACACTCACTAATCATACCCTGGTCATCTTTTGTTTATACTGCAAGCAGATCACATGAAAGTTGTCCTTTTCTGTTGATGCTCCAATGGATGTAATCATCACTTATTTTTATACCGCCTGCAAAGAGTGAATTACGGTCGGCTGATGTTGGAGAGCAAGAAAAACTAAAATATGACTCACAAATAAGAATATACAGGCCCCCACCATCACTGCACCAGTTCTTTATATCATAAAGTTATGCAAGATTAGACAAAATTAAACGGAAATGATGAAAGGAAGTCAGTTAGACTAAAACACAAATTTTTCAGTGAAAATAACGCAGACATTTATATTTATAATCATTCCCAAAAGCTATCATTAACTATTCATTGAGACACTTGTACCATTAGTGTATTAATAATATACACTGTTTGTATGCACAACTTCACTTTGTAATGTTTTCCAATAAACAATCCTGCAATAAATACTACCGTAGTTTTGCACAGAAACACTTTACTTTTATTTTGAAACTTTTACCGGATATATTGTTATGGTAGTGCGTCTGTCTTGACGCCAGGGCCTGACGGATTTGGACGGTTGACGTGTGTTCACTGCCCTCCAGTGGTCACAGTGAGGAACTGCAACTTTTTTTCCCGCATGTAACAGTTTAAATATCAGTATAATATATATATTCATATTCAACTCGTTTTTAGTGAGATTATTACAGATAACAGTAACATCAATACTGCCGATACTTTTTAAAAGAAAGTTTAAAGTTTTGTTGGTCTGGAGATTTATTTAACCCGGAAATTGTCACACTTGCATCAAGGTAGACATAATAGCAAACACTCACTTCCGGTCATCACTTTCAAAATACATTTGGGTGAAAAAACTTAAAGAAAAATAACTTAATTCATTGCCCCTTCATTTACTTATTTTCTCGCAATTCGTCGCATGTTCTTTTTGTCACCCCATGGATTACAAGATCCTGGACAGACTCTCACTCATGTATTAAGACTTTTCAGTGGTTATTATTAGTGTTCCTTACCCATGTGCTTTATTGTGCTGTATTACAGACTCACAGGTTATATTGGTCGTTACATTACATGGTACTTCTACTCCGATGAAGAGGACCACTAGAAATACACTGGCTTTAACATACATCTACAGTCCTACGGTCTGTTTTGTGTGATTACATTTATTTTTTTCTATTTGTAAAATGTAACAAGAGGTGATAATGTTTTGGAAAATATAATTTGTCATCTCTATTGTGGTTAACTACAGTAATAACTATGCATTGCCCAGATTTACTGTGGAAAACTGATAATTCCCACAGTGTAAAAGCTTTAAAGACAAACCTATCCGTCGTATTGAGAGACCCAGAAAGTAGAGATTCTGTTCAGATAAACCTTTATATCAAGGAGCCGTTTCCCACCAGACATCCTCACGTCACACGCTTCCAGAATCAAACATTTTAAACAACAAATCTGAGACGGCGTCACGTCTGTGCACGCCCTCGTCATCCATCTCCAACTCCCCCTCTCGGGTTATGGCTTCTTCTTCCTCAACGTCCCCTTGAACCACCTGTCCCATGTCCAAAAACACATTGTGCAACACACAGGCAGTCAGCACAACAGCTCTGGCTCGCTCGTAGTTTCCGATATCTAGATACCTGAGCCTTTTGAACCTGGCTTTCAGGTTGGCGACAGCCTGATCCAGGATGTGACAATGCTCCTCTAGCGTCTTGTTGAAGAGCTCCTCTCTTGGTCCGTGACTTCCTGAGTATGGAGTTAAAATGTGAGCGGTGAGCGGGTAGCCGGCTCTGGCCAGGAGGCAGGAGTCAGAGGGCATCAGTTCAGGATGCTGTTTGAGTTTGTCCCTCAGAGCGCCGCCTCTGTCCACGTCTGATCCTTTACTGATTCTGCAGTGTAGGAAGCGGCCTTTACGGTCACATGCGAGCTGCAGGTTTAGCCAGGAGTCGGGATGGGCCTCCTTCTTCAGCCTCTTCACTTCAGGCCCTGCGCTCTCCACATCGTGTTTCCCTATTGGCAGGCGGATCGGGATGCGGGTGTGTCCCAACACTCCCAGGACCACAGGGACACCTTGCTGCTCCTCCTGCTCCTTCTCTGGACTGCACAGTGGGAAGAGGGCTTCCACAGCCTCCCTGCCTGGAGAACAGAGAGGAAAAGCCCCCCCATCATTATCACTTCAAAACCCTGATCATGTCCTACAAACTACACTGAGGTTTAACCCACCGACTGGCCACCTGATTTGCTTCTCTTCCAGCGTGTTGAGGCGCTCGCAGAAAGAGAAGAAGATCCTGTGGATGTTTCCTTTCTCCAGGTGGAAGCGGCGGGACACCGAGCGGTAGCTGACCCGCTCAGAGAGCAGCGTGAGGGACAGCAGGACGGTGTGGGACAGGGACAGGCGAGCCCGTCCCGCCATTCGAGCCCTGGATTGAGAGTTTTGAAGCAGGTCTGTGATGCACTGATGGGAGAAAGAAAAGTCCAGTCAGCAGATTCAGCTGGTATTTCAGGTGAAACCTCATCATGGATACAAAGAGCATCTCTCAGCAGGCCATATTTCATGGCATGATTATTTATTCAGAACAAGGGCAGCTAGAAAAAGCATTGGGAAATTTGTATATCTGCCCACCCTGTAGGTATCTTAGTGAAGTTCTAACTTTGGGAGATTTGTTGTGTTATTGAATGTTATTCTTTAATACATTCACTCTTTAGACAAATCCACCAGTACAAAGGAAAACACTTGAGATCATCCTAGACGTGTTTCTGTGCACAAGTAAAATGATGTTAATCTGTAAACTTATTCTAACAACAGTTATCCATTTAACAGACCGATACCTTGACTGCTGCACCGTCAACGGTCTCCAGCGGTTCTCGGGACTCTGGTGTCTCTTCCTCGGGGGGTCTGATGCATGTCTGTAAAACTTGGGGCTCCACACTCGCTTGACTCTGCGGTAAATGCACGACTATAGTTGGGGGAGGCTGAGTTTTAAATTGCGCTATGAGCTCAGCCTCCAGGATCTCCTCCACCGCCTGGTCCAGCCTCTGCTCCAGCTCGCCCGGAGACAGCGGCTGCCACTCCCGCTCCACCACGTCCAGCACGGCTCTGCCCGCCGACAAAACGCACTCACTGACGTCCATGTGTACCGGTCTATGTCCGCGTAGTCTGCGTTGAGTCAGAGGCCACCGTTGCTTCGTGCATTGAGCAGAACAAGAGGGCGAAGTTACACGTAGCCGCCCGAAATGCTAAGCTAGCCCGCTAGCTAACGCACGCTGCCTTCAAGTGCTGTCGGAAAGTTCGAAACTTTTAGGAACAACGAGCAACTCGCGTCATCGTCTGCAACGTGTTGCTTATTGTAAGTTTAATTGAACGTGTGTTGATACCTTTTCCATTATCTCGTCAAAAGTCGACGTGATGATTTGCTGCTTCTCTGTTTTATGTGATTTTAAATTTAATATATTCTGGTTTTGGACTATTGGTCATACAAAACATGCAATGTGATATTCTGATGGGCATTTATCACTATTCTATTGACCAGTCCATCAAATAATTTAGAAAACAATAAACAAATATGTGTTTGCAGTCCTAATTTAGTTAATTTTCATATCTTAGCACACATTGCTGCCAATTATTATTACCAGTTCTCCCAAAATAAGCGGATACACCAGCAGAACACAAACAAACTAATGGTCTCCACACAGAGAGAGATAATAAAAGCCATCCTCTATTATATCCTGCAGTTATGTATTAATTCATCAGTCTGCCATTAACTTCTGTGCTAGCTTATCTTATTGTTTATGACAGAAAACATTCTATCAGCTGCTGTTTCAAATGAAATGCAAAATCAACATTTGATTGTGTTCCTCAGACTACACATTCAAAAACACCACAGTGCACAGGGGTGAAAAACAGTTGTTTTAATGTTAAATCAGTTACAAGTGCAACTTTGATCATGTCCCACTGTTTAACAGCCTCAATTTGCAAATGCTAACGTCAACAATTTCATTCCACACCCACAGGTCAGAATATACTTTCCTGTTGTAACGAATGGAGGGTTTTACCTTTTAAATTGTAGTTGTTTTTTTTAGATCATGAGACCCAGTGTTATAATTTTATTTGATGTGCAGAGAGTTGATTTCTAATCCCCCTTTTGATTTTAGGAAAAGAAATGTGTATGAAGTCATTAATGGGGTATAATACAACATAAGTTGCAGCATGAACTAAACCTAAATGGGCAGTGATTCTGGGACAACAGAGTCAAATGTGCAGCCCACGACTCACAGATCATCACATGTAAACTACCCGCTTAACTTCAAACGGTTTAGGTTTACTATGAACAACCAGCCGCACTGATTCAAGTCAAGAGCATCTCCAAGATGTCATCGGCTACAATCAAACATTGGAGAGGAGAGTTGGTTCATCCCGACCTCTGTTAGTAAGGTAAACATCTGCCTTTTCAACACCAGGTCCCACGACTGAGTGCATTCAGTCTCAGTAACATGTGTGAGCAGCTACAGTAGGAAAACTACAACTACTGATACGGTAAAGTACCAAGAAATGTTCATCTTAGTGCCAGATCTCCTGCCAACAAGTGAATCTATTTTATCTCAGACCCATATTGTTCAAAACGCTTTTGAAATACAGATAGTAACTTAGAAATCCACAAACTCCGAGCTATTATCGCAACACATATCCAGGCCGAAGACCAAAAAACGTGTTCAATCCTAGCAATAGTTTAATAAAGAAACACACAAACATAAAAGCCTAAAAATGTCACACCTTATAGTCTAACTCCCACGTTTAAGCCAGTAAAATTAAAAAAAACACAAGTAAGGTAGCAATAACCTTACCCGAAATAAAGAGTAGAATTAATTAAATACGAGGTACAACTTTTTATGTTCAGCCATTACCAACCCCATGGATGACTGACAGTGTCGTGACAAGTCCGTCAGGTATCTCTGAAGGGTCTTGTGTGAAATGATCAATGTATCTAGCATGCGTTCACCCACTGCAGGACAAATGAACCACTTTGAAGCACTCGCCCTCACATTTACAACGAGGGGAGTCCGTGTTGGTAACCGTTTGTGCCCGGCTGAAGATCTGTCGTCGGCAAGGTAAAAACTCACCCGCGGAGGCATCACAAAATGTAACTCCTCCCTCCCCCCCGTGAAGCCCCCCCGTTTCCCCCCCCCCCCCCCCCCTCCCCTCCCTCCCTCCCTCACTGTACAGCCTGCTCGTTGGCTGTGCTGCCAGAGTCCTGGGGCTTCATGACGTCAGGGAGCTCTGGGGGAGTGGAGAAAGACTCGACCCTCAGCTGCTCAAATGAATCATCTGAAAGTGACACCAGTGAAGAGAGAGAGAAAGAGAGCGAGTGAGAGAGAGAGAGCAAGAGAGCGAGTGAGAGCAAGAGAGAGAGAGAAAGAGAAAGAAAAAGAGAGAGCGAAAGAGAGAAGACACATCACTGGAAATCAGAGCTGCTATCGTTCAAAACAACTGTCTCTGCTCAGACTGGACTCAGAGCGGCTCAATAAAACAAGTGACTGGATGACGCCAACACTACAACACTGTTGACTAAAGAGTAAACTACTTACCACTCAGACGGAACGCTAACCCCACCGTGGCCGGGGCCTGAGGTCGAGCGGTTTGATTTGTAAAGCCACAATTTCCAAGAGTTTGACCGTCATTGAGCATCACGTCATCCTGGTGAAGACATTTCATAAAAGATAAACATAGCGAACAGCCAGAAGATCATTTCTATCTTCCACGTTTATCAGCCTTTTCAGACACGATGTTCAAAGCCTCTGAAGACATTTAGGAGACAGAGTTGCCAGCGCAGTGAAATGGGTGAGGACTCATCGCTGTTGTGAAACTACTTGCATTCCTCTCAGCCAGCATGTTTGTATTCAGTGTCAGTGAAGGAGGAATCCTCTAACCATTGGGTCAATTTAATGATGCAGTTGTCTGTCCAAAAATAAATACATTTACTGTCATATATGACAAAGAAAAGCAGTAAATCCTCAAATCTGTGAAGCTGAAACCAGAGGATATTTAGCATTTTAACTTAAAATGACTGAAACTATAAATGTATCATCAATAGTTGCCCATTAATTGTCTCCACTGATTTTTGCAGCTTTAAACAGCAGAGCTTATTCCTGAGACGTTGTCTCACAGTATTTATCTTCATATTGTCTCCCCTTCACTCTCCTCAATCAGACGGTGATAAAGCATGAATGTGAATTCAAAGCTATTAGCTGTATGTATGCGGTCCACTAACTGGACATTTCACTCATACGCTCCTTTACCTTGTAAAGTTTCTGATCTTCAGGGGGCCTCTTTAAAATGCCTTCCACAATGCGCTTCAGCTCATAGACTGTGGTTGACTCTTTGGCGTCGGTGAAGATGGTCGTCTTGTTGCGTCGGATCATTAGAAACACATCCTGAAGAGAGATCGAGTGAAGAGGAAAGAATGGAAATGAGACACCGATGACTCACGAGAATATTGACATCAGAAAAACCACCGTTGACCTTGTGAATGCTTTCCTCTCAGACAGGATGCCGTGAATCTCTGGAGGCACGTTTCGTCTGAAACAAATCAGTCCAGACAGAAGTATGCTGCATCTGTAGTAATAACCGTCATCTTTCATCCACGAGCCTCACTAAGAAATAAAGATACTTTGGGTGTAAAGTCAAGCAAGTCATAATCTCCTCATTACTGGTCGTTTCTGTGCTAAAACCTCCACAAAGTGTCTGTTTGCATCAGCAGGTAGAAACTTTATCTTTTGCTCAGTAGTGGAAGTTATTCAGATCCGTTACTAATACCAAACTGTGAAAATACTCCACTACGAGTACAAGTACTGCATTCAAACCGTACTTAATTAAAATATTTAACTTTTCCTGAGCTCAGAGCGGTTTGCAGCTTTGTGAGAAATGCTTTTTCCTTTTTAAAAAGTGTATTCAGCTTCAAAAGTAGAAGGATTGTTTCAACACATAAAGGAACACTTCATCCTTCAGTTCGTCACAGACACATCTGGAGAAACGTGATTTTCACTGGACAGGAAGGGGACGATCAGCTGTAATCTGAAAAATAACTACAGCTGTCACACAAATGTAGTGGAGTAGTATAAAGTAAGTAAAGTATAAAGTTTCATACAATGGAAACACTCAAGTGAAATACAAGTACCCTAGTACACTAGTGTGATACTTATTGTACAGTATACTGAGCACAAAACAATGCCCGAGCTAATACAGATGTTAACTCAAACACCAACTAGGGAGATGAAGCTGCAGATAAAGTAAATGTCGCAGTGATAACCTCTGTCTGTACTAGCTAGGTAAAAGGTTCTCAGCCATTACATAGAATAGATTACATAGAAAAACACAATTAGAAATCAGTTTAAAACAATATGAAGCAGTGTCTTACAAAGAAACAACTAAACCAATGTCCCCACAGGTGGTATTGGACGTGTGTGGCACTAAATCCCAAGATGATTTAATTTTCAAGTGTCATCAGGCCTGCAAATACATTTGACATGAGACTTCTTAGAACAGTTTGTGAGTATCGACTCCTATAGACACAAACACGACACCATCTAGGTCTCTTAAGTAAATATTAATAGCATCATCATATAAGCTACTTGAAGTCTTTGAGAGAGTAGTGGTGAATGGTGGACACACAATATGCTCTGAATAGAGACACCACGTCTGTAACACGCAATTAACGCGAGTAAGAAAATGTTTGCATGTTCGTGCATCATTGACTGTAAATATCTGTCATTTATTCAATGTGTTTTACCTCATTACAGACAATAACTAGCTAGTTAAGTATAACTCTGGAGGGTTAGGATGTTTGGCAGCAGTAGAGACTACAGTGACAGTAGTTTGGTGAATTAGTTGATGAGCTCGTGAGGTTCATACAAACAGACTGATCTAGTGTGACTCCATAACGTCACACCGGTCTCTACATGTAGGCGTTTAAAGACAGGCAGCAGCTGCCAGCTAGCGTCACAACGAGCTAACGTTAGCCTGCAGCTAGCTGGAGTAGCTCCCTGTGGGTCTGGAGATCGTGCCCCTCTCCCAATATAGCACCTACTAGACACACATGTTTGTTGTCTAACATTAAACTCGCTTCATTTAACTGTCAAAATCAAGTTGTTTTTTAAAGTATATGTTAAGATGATAACATTAACCAAGATACAGCGGCTACTGACAACTTCTGCTAGTTAGCTTCTTCGTGGCTAGCTAGCCATTTCATCAAAGCAAAGTTTGTCAGTTGAGTTTGTCACGTATCCAAAACGATGTGTATTTATATGCACTTTCGTCTGCGCCCGTCTCGGCTAACCTAGCTGTCGACTCGAGTATTATAAAAGCGATGTCCAGCTAGCTGAAGCTACAGTGTTGACGTTAACCAACGTAAGGAAGCTAACCCATGTTAGCAAGGGTTAGCTAAACAAAGACATCAGCTTCTGGATGGTCGTTTTTTGTTACCAGCCTGGTTCCGCTACTGACGGCAGACATTTTAACGGCTTAGATAAAGACTTAGTGACTAATTAAAGTTAAGTTTGACTCGTCAACGGGCCGTTACATCTGGAGCTGGATCTGTTTTCCTCACTCACCATTTCTTGCGGTTGGTTGCACACAGAGGGAGAAAAAAAAAACGCCTCCACCGCACAGCGACAACTGTGAGATCACAGCAGCAGACACACCTGCAACTTCAAAACCAACCAGCAGGTGGCGGTACATTCTTCTTCTTCTTCTTCTTCTTCTACCAATCTTTGCTGTAGAAATCAACCCTTTCGTGAGTCAACATAGAAAACATGACTATTCCCAATAAGATGATTCATGCAACGTATTAGCAGATCACAGGGTGACTGTAAAATAGTTAAAAAATAATATTAAAAAAATAGTGGGAAGAAGAGGGAAAAATTACAATACAAAATAACAGAGAAGGTAGGCAATACAATCTAATTTCCTAAATGTATTTTTAAAAATCCTGTAGCATATTCAGTATATGAGCACACTTCTTATTTGTTGCTATTTGGATAGACTCGAAAGTACTTCCTAAATTCAATCCAGAAAGGTTCAAATGATGAGCAAGACCTCGAGAACATTATGGATGTTAAATATCCCCAGTAGAATTAGTAAATTGACAGTCCGTTGAACTTTCTGGTTTTTGTTTTCTTAGCATGATACTACATCCTTGGCTTCCAGCTTAATTTAATGATTGGTTTGAGTGACCGAATAATCCTTAATTTAGTATCAAGTCTAATTCTAGTTTCTTCTCACTGGTGGGTTCTTTCATGTGTGAGGACTTAACTTCCACCTCTGAGCCTGAGAGCAGCTGTCCTCACAGGGAGTGGAGCAGCTGAGCAGACCACAGCCGAGAACAACAAATAGAGCAAGCTGTGAAAGATCAGGGTTCTTCTTTCCTGTTGCGTTTGTGACGTGGTTGGCTGGTCAGCAGGCGATTCATGATACAGAACGATGCAAACATAAAAACGAATACATTTTTAAAATAGTTTTCTTTGAAAAAACTAAAATCTTTTAAAATGTAACAATTCTTTAGATTTAGGAGGTTCTTATTGAAAACATGACCTCTGAAACTCAGCAGTTGTTGTTTGACACATTTGTTTGCTAAAGATTTAAAATGTGTGGATGTTTTTTTTTAACCAAAACACTGAAGTCTGTAAACAAAGAGGCTCCAATTTATCTTTGCATAACTTCTGATTGCCTGAGCAGGTAATAGATGAGATTCTTATGTTGCAGATGCTCTACTGTACATACTGCATATGTTCATGTTAACACGTTGAAATAGTTATAAGTTCAAATCATGGTGCTGACAATATCTAATACTGACAAATGCCTTCATTTTGAGAGCATATTGATTACACAGGAGTATATTTGTAGTCACATTTTTCGTCTCGCATACATCAAACAATTCTTATTGAAAGCAAGTTTATTTACATGTTTTACATTTTATACACAGACAAACAAATCTGTCACAGCAGCCTTGAAAATACAAATAAATCCTGAAGTAAAACATAACACTGTTGTATCCACCAGACTCATAAGGTTCAAGCACAAAACATCTCTTTTCTAAACTTTTGGACATTAAAAACATGCATTACGTTTGTTATGCTCTTTCAGCATATTTAAATACAATGTTGCATTCTGATATGATTTCCAAAAATAGCACACAAGCATGAAAACGGCCTTCTACTGAGCCGATGGACAAGAAATAGGTCAAAACCTAATTTAGATTGAACAGATTTGAAATGACAGCGAGTCACTGACAGAGTGAAAGATGATGTAGAGACACATTCCCACTGTGGCCTGAATAACTACAGCACTTTTCCATGAACGAAAAATACTAAAGTGAAACTCCTCCATATTTTCTTAAACTGCTTTGAGATTTCAAATTCACTGACTTTCTCTTTCTGAAAAACACCTCGAGAAAATGCAGATATTCCATGATCCCAGAAATATGTAGAACATTATATTACATATACACAAAAATATATTCAACTCACCAAATACACTTCAGATATCTATCTAATCACGAAGGCACTCTCTCTGATCTTGGAATAAGCAAACTGTGGAACAGAGAGGCAAGAACACAAGAGTCACTTTACAGTATCACAAAACAAAGGCTCATCAAACCTCAAACGTTCAAAACCTTCACTTACATTCAGTCCTCTGGGGGATTGGACGGGCTGCAGTCCCGTACAGCAGAGCACTGAAAAGGGCCTCTCCATCGTCTTCGAATGCTCTTTGAAACACAGACTGAACACCTTGGCAGGCAGGTAGACGTCCCAGTCAGCTGCATGCTCCTCTATTAGATCGCCTACCATCCTGTTAACGAGCAGCAAACAGAAAAACATGGGAGTCATGATGAGAGATGTTTCAGTGACATGCATCCATCAGAAAATAATCACAGGATACACGTGTGCCCTGCTGAGAGGAGCGACAGTAGACGTTTGTACAAAAAGTTGACTTCAATGTTTGATTCACTATATGTTTTATATTCCCTGTCAATTTAGAGCTGGAAGATGCATTAATGCACTGCAGATACAGTATTTATTGTTATATTACTGTAAGTGCTGACCTGTCAATCAGCTGCTGAGTGATCAGATCCACGGTGCCCGTCTGCTGATGATAGACGACCAGAGCGACGGTGATCTTCAGCTGATCTTTCAGCTCTCTGTTGATCTAACACGGGGACACATTCACAAAGTGAGACACTGGCTGATTAGGACACAATGTTACACAAACACTTTATTATAAAACTAAATGTGTGGCGACCTAAAATGCCATCTGTCACTCCATGGAAATAGTAATTAAAGGTTTTAAATTCAAGCTGAGGAGACAATAACTCTTCCTTGCATCCAACTATGTCATATGATGAGGATATCCACATAAAAAGTAGAACGTTTTCCCTTTAAGCTCTCTATAACAAACAATACGAGCAGTTCAATCAACAACGCACTCACTTTGTGGACTATGTCATGAGGCAGTCTGGAGAGGATCCTGATCGGGTACCCAAAGTGGGCGATGATGTCGACGATGTGCTTGGCGACATCCGTAGGGAGGCACGACTGCATCGGCACAGCCTCCACCCACTTGGAGAAGTAGTCCGTCACTGTCAGGATGTACTTGTGTCCATTCAGCGTTTGGGGAAGCGGCCCTCTGACATCCAGACCAAGCCACTGCCACGGCTCCTTCACCTGCCACCACCACATCACAGTGAACATCACAACCACGTTGGGTTCAGTTTAATGCCGCAGTACGTTCAGGTGATCCTGTTGTAACTCACCTCTATCACCTTCTCAAGATCCTCACAGTCCGTCTGTGAACACTACAGACGAGCACTTGATTAAAACACGTCGTAACATAGGAGTCAAAGAATAAAAGTTAAAACCATGAGGACTACTTACACTCAAATCATCATCTGGAGCCCACTGAACATCCTGCTGGTGAAAAATGACACAATGTCCAATGGGATATAAAGATGAAAAAGTTTTTGATAACAAACTGCAATAATGAAGATAAACATCTGACACAAAAGGCTTTGATTTGTCTAATGTCATACCACAATAATGAGATTAACAAGTAATGAAAAGATGTTGATTAGAAATTATACTACATATATTTATAATGTATAATAAAACGTACCTGTGGTGAACAGTAATCTCCGTGGAAGAAGTGTGGAAATGACTCTATCTTCATCAGCCCTTCATCTACTATAATCCTCCATTTGTCATTTGACTTTTTTGGGTCATTGTCCCTGAAAATAAACAATAAAAAGTCAACACATTAAAGAAGCAACAATCCAAAAAACACTTAATACAGGAATTCAGGTTCCAACTGAAAGTGCTCTGTTACTTCCTCACAGTATTAGTAGAATAATTAAAAGCTTGTAGTCGAGCATCACAACTAAGTTACAATATAAATGTGTAAAAATGCAACATGTGAATTAAAATCACCACAGTTCTGGATTAACACACTACTCATACTTACATTACTTATGTTATTTTGACAATCGATACATCATTTCAATAATTCATAATAATAAACACAACAACAAAAAACCAACTAATATTCACTAGTTACAGCTGAAACTATTTAAATATGTGTTGCTTTTCTTTGTCTGACATGATAAATACTAAATATACATGATATTAAATATACATGATATTAAATATACTTGATATTTGTGTTTTGGACAGTTTCACCAAACAAAAAATTTGAATTCTGCAGATTAATTGATAATGAAGTTAATCCATATTTACAACTAGGTCTGTCAATAATTCACACAAACAATATTATCACATTGTTTCTTTTTTGGCCAATGAATTACATACAAGTGAAGGGAGGCGGAGAGAGTCTGTGTGCGCACACGCACGCACACACACACACACACACACACACACACACACACACACGTAAAGCCAGAATAAACAGTGGAGGGTTAGGACAGAGCCAAACTTTAAGTGACTTACCCAGCAGGCTGTTCCTCTGTGTGGCTGAGCTCTTTGTTCCGGACTCTTCTCTTTGCCGTGGCAGTAGTGATAGTTGGAGACGGAGCTGGACTCGTCTGTGAGGCTTTAACACCAGCTGACTGGGTTCACGATACAGAGAAACAACACACAGTGTGTTCAGAAACCTGAACTGATCGTCATTGTAAGCGACTAATATACTTATATTAATAGACTCCATGGTGCTTAAGTGAATTAAAGACAGAATTCATGTTAACGTCCTTGTTTTTTTTCAACCTTAACTCAAAGCAGCTCAATCTGAGCAAAATCTGAGATGTTTTATAACTGCAGAGAAAATGGACCAACAAGCTGCTAAAATGACCACAAATTAAAGATGAATCACAGAATTTGAACAGTTAAATGTTGATATAACACACTCTCACCTTGAATCTCTTACTTCTTGTGTTGATGGAAGCCTATATCAGGGAGCAGTGACAGTGATTACATGCGATATATTCAGATAATTATCATACAGATGAAGCTTCTGTGCTACTAAAGCGTTTCACTGTCTTGTTCTGAATAACTTTCTCGACTCTATGAGCTGATGTTGTATTTGTTACATGATCCAAAGACACTGAGTAACGACAGACAAACCTCTCTTTTCTGAGTCTTGCCAGGGGATAAAAATATGGTGGGAACTGCATCTTCCCGAAGTTTCACACATTTGCCGGTCCTGTCGATGTATTGCTCCTCGAAATGTTTGACGCACAGCACAGAGAAGCGAGACGGGGTCCAGTCCTTCAACTTCATGTTGATCAGCCATTTCTTGAGCTTTCGGGGATTGTAGACGGGAAATCTGTAGAAGCCAAAAACTCATTAAACCACCGAAACACTGAACTAAACCTTAATGTTCTCATTGGCAGAACTCCTGTTATTTTTGTTAAATATCACATGCACAAGGACGCCAGTAGAGCACTTCACTTAAGTGTTGCAATGTTTATTACTATTGTGATGGAGGTACGCAAAATATATACAATGTTGCAAAGTGATGAACATGTTTTGTAAGATCTATCTGAAGTCAATTCTGTCTAATAAATCATATTTATACTCTGTAAGTGGGTGAATCTTTCACTGCCTGACTCTAGTTAGCGTTATGCTCGTCCTGCATTCTCTTCTTAAATTCGTAGTAAATGTGCTAAAAATTCAAAATGTGCTGGAAGAACTTGCCGCTGAGTGGCTAACTAATGCTATTCATGCTGCTGTTTATGTTAGCTTTATGTTCGCTAGCTTGACTCTTCACAAATCTGCCGGCCGGCTAGCTCTGTTTACGAGTGACAAATGTTTAATACTCACTTAAAATACTTCTCGTCTGGCTCGCTGGAGCTTTCGCAGTCGTAGGCACATTTATATCTTCCCATTTAGTACACAATTTAGTTTAATTTGCGTCCAAACGAACCGATTTTGTTGCCAACAGTTGTTTGAGCGACCAATCAAGGTAGCAATAATACAACCGTAACATCCGGTCCCAATTTTCAAAATAATAAACTCATGACATATTTGAAAACTTGCATTAACAAAGTCAAATAATACATCTGACAATAATGACATCGTAATTGGCAGTATACAAGAGTATATGTTTGCTCATCTTGTATAAAAACCCTGTTGTTGAATATTCAACGGCATTTGTTAATTATACACAAACCGGAAATGCATATTTTCAGCTACTACCCAAAAATATTACTAACTTGACGCAACTGTTGCATCAACGTTTATTCTTCGTGTCGTATTTAATTGCAAATGAACGCCCTGCAGCGCTACCTTATGGATAAAAGATAGAAGGGCAGTCAGTTATATTTTATTTGTAGGACACATTTGTACACCTGTAAAAATCTAAATATTTCAGTACAAATATAGATTTCTTTTTTCTCTACTTGTATCATACACACAGAATGTTTTAAACAATGTATACTTAAAAACAACACTGTTTGATCAACATTAAAAACTGTGATAAAGAATGCAAAATGGCTGCAGATGTCGCACATCTCAGTGGTTCTTTGTTTTCCACTCAACCCTCCACTCATCCCAGTCCAGTAAAGTTCGTGTTGTGTCCCATCCTGCAGCTTCCACACCTGAAAATTTACATTGGCAAAAATAATGTTTTCTATTGCTAAATTGCACAATAAAAAGTTGGTGATTATTTGGTTAAATTAGCTTTGTGTGTGTGTGTGCTCACCTTTGAGAAATGGTTTGAAAATAGTGTCCATCATCTTGTGACTCTCATGTACCATTTCCCAGTTACCTTTAAAACATAAGAGCGTGTAAAGGAGAGAAAGCACTGCTGTTATTGTAAAGACATGAATGGAGGTAAAGGCTCACTTTGGGTTGGAGGGTCTCTGGATGTTGGAGGGCTCAACTTGCTGCTGAGCCACACAGCTTGGCACATGGCTCTGATTTCATCATGTACTGATGCTTCTGGTCCCAGACAAACGCATACACAGCCTGAGAGGAACACAGCAGAGTTATTAATAAACAACATTCAAAGTTATATGGCTCTTAAACACATTGTTCTGTGGAGGACGGTGGGAGATTACACACCATTTCGTACTCCCAAAAGGTAAGGCATGTTGTTTTCCTTCAAAGCCAAATTCAGATCCTCTGGGCTACAAAATAATAAGCAAAATTAGAATAAACTGTGTTATTGTGCTTCATTTCTCATCATATAAACAAAACATTGAATTACCTTTCTACCACCTCCTGTAGCCTCACTCCAAGTTTGATTGGCACCGTTTTCCTGAACTCTGTAAACAAGCCGTAGAATCCATTATTCTGAATGCACAAAATTAACATATTAATAATAGCAACATAAATAATACGACATTTATTTATAGAGCGCCTTTCCAAAGCAATTTTACAAGGTGCTGTACAGGGAAAAAAACAACAAACGACAGAATCATGAAAGGGTTCATCATAAAACAATAAGAACACCACCATGAGTAAAACAATACAAATAAAGAATAAGACATAAATAGACTTAGACATCCTCATATATTAATATATATTAATATGTATTCTGTCTCAATGCTGCAACAATTGGACACTTGAATTAGTCATGATGAAGATGTCACAACATTACCCAGGAGAACTGGTTCTCTCTGATTGGCCTCCAGTGGACTCAGGACCCGTCCGTCTCTCAGGTAACCCTTCAGCACAATCGAGAGCCGCGCCTCGTTTAAGGTTTCCATGACAACCGAGCGCACAGCCTTGTAGTTGGCGAAGAGGTGGAGGACGGTGAAGAGGAGGAAGAGGCTCACCGTCAGTCTGAGGGGACGGAGAGAGGTATGAAGACATGACAGACTCTTGAAAAAATGAAGTCCCTGTGTCAGATTGTAATGGTGATTTATACACGTTTTCTACATCAACACTTACATCGGATTATCTGTGACGATGGGAATGAGCATCAAACTGACCAGCAGTCCAGCCAGGTTCACTAAAGTCTCCTGTGGGAAATAAAAGACATGCAGATGACACAAGCACACTGCCCAGTGCAGACAGCTGTTCAGGGCTGATTTTAATGACGACTTTTATACATGTCACAGTCGGAAAAGCACATCTGTAAAGAATAAAATCAATGATTGCAGAGTTTCATTTAGCTGCTTCAGTTTCAGGCTCCCAGTATTGTTCATGTGGCAGAGCCATCGTTAAGTCAATATACAGTATATACTGTGATGTGCCAGTTAATAATGGTCCCTGGTATAATCACAATAGAAGAGCACATGAATGGGTGAAGGAAATAGACGTCTGTATTCACCACAACTGTGCACAATGTTATCCATCACAGTAATAGAAGATTAATTATTATACGCACATCTCGTAGGTTCAGGGCGATCAGAAAAACAGCATCAATAAGGGAAAAGGTAACGCCTCCACACTACTCCATGCCAACTGTATTTACGAATGACTGTTTCAATCGTACTGGGATCTTCTTCAGTTCAGAATGTTTGAACCACCCCCATATTTATACATCATGCACACAAACAGGTAAACAGGCTTCATGACGGCAGGCGTGGTTCATCCAAAATACATGGAGTCATAAAACATTCACAAACAATTAACAATTCAATAAAGTACATAAAACAGTAATACAAAAGCCATAATTCTAATTATCAGACATATATGTCATATTCATTATCACACATATCAGAAACTAAGTAAGTCAGTAGTTAAGTTTAAAAAAAAGGAAAGAAGACAATTGAATACAGTGATAGCTGTTCACTATGGGTTCCTCCACAATAAACAGTTAACGGTCATAGAGTACCTGACTGCCGTCTTTGGCAGAGATGTCGGCCATGTTGTCTCTGCGAGCCTGATGAACGGTCAGAGCCGCTCTGGTGGCTCCGCCTGCCACTCCAACAAGAGACTGGAGAAGAAAAACACACAGAAGTCAGCTTGTGTTTATCAAGAAATACATTGAAGCCCTAAACCTATAAGCCGACTGAATGTTTAGTAGTTCAACAACAGGATATTTTGACAATCCATCAGGTTTGATTGACAGTCTGCAGCCTGGTTCCAGACCTGTGAATGTAGCCACGCATTCTGATCAACAGGCTACCAAGTTAGGGCCAGTGGTCTCTGACCTTTTTTGGGCTTCTGACCCGTTTTCTTAGAATTGTTCGGGGGCTTTGGGCGTTTGATTAACCACTAACTTGTGAGTAAAAGCACTGATAGATAAACAATACTGTTTACTCACAACCTCTATGATTTATCTTCAACCCCATTAAAGGTTCTCTATTTGATATTCAGAACATTATTATAGCAGCAAACAACTTTGCTTTTTTTCCTTCCTCCCAGCTGATTTAAAGTTTGTCTTTTTACCTTGAATATTCCGGCTGTACAGACAATCAGGATGAAGCAAGCAGGAAAGTATGGAGCCAATATTTCCATGAACATGGCGATGTCGTTGAGGACATCAGCAAAAAGCCTGGTAGCAAATCAAAAGATAGAACTTTGAATGGGTTCATAATAATGAGTAGAGTAGACTGACCCAAGTCTTTTTAATCGAGTGCCTGAACACCATGCTTACCTCCACTTTTTGGCCTCAGAGTCCAGTTTACTCCTGAAACAAAGACAAAGAAACTGATCATGAAGAGGAATTCCCATCAGTGTAAGATGAGCACAAATAAAAAGCAAAAATTGAGAGCATCCAAACATTGTATTTAAGCTCCCAAAACTTTTATTGCACTTAAATAATGAAATGTATTTTAAAAAGAGTCCGTACCCTTTCTGCCAAGCGAAGAGGATTCTTCCCAACATGCCAGTTCCATCTGCAGAGAAGACAATTAGTTTGCAGGTTGCACTCACCGTGCTAGAGTTACATACATGTGTGGTGTATTTTAAGGGATAACCTCTTAGTAGCCAGGTGATTGTGGCTGCAGCTACCGTCGCCTCTTGGTTTCCAACACCGACACCTTTGAGAGAAGCCTGAGTAGCCAGAGTCCCTGACAGAGAGCTGGAAAAAGCCTGAGAGAGAGTGAAGAGCGTGGATGGAGAGTTTCAATCTGATGCTGACGATCTCGATAGCGTTAGTGCGTCATTTACTGTACCTGCACAGTATCCCAAAACTGGTACTGCAGGTAGTCATCACTGACGCTCTCTGGATAGCCCTGAGGCAGAAAGACACTCTGAAATACAAAGTCAAAATGTGAGTCTGAGGGGGGGAGTGGATGAGCAGTCGATGTAGCCGTTATATCGATGTTTTTCTTCTTACATGGCTATTTTAAGAGAGATTAAACAGTATACTTCAGACAACAAATGCATTATTTACGTTTTAAATAGTTTGGGCCCCAAAAGAAGAAGAATTAAATGATTAAAGCTTCCATTTATTGGTAGAGTGAACTTTAGTTTCAGTCTTAAAAATTCAAATCTGCACCACTGATGAAGAAAAGAAGAGATCAGACTAGAAGAGAATAGAATCCTTTTGATGCTGCTGCAGTGTTTATTGATGTATATGTTCATGCTGTAAATGGATATTCATTTTAGGATTGCTATTCATATTATAATTCCTCATTGGGTTGGGTTTTGTTTCCCTTCTTATGTTATACTATTATTAGATTAAAAAAATCATCTTATTTCTATCTTATCTTAGTGTGTTTTATCTTCCCTGTTTTTATGTTCATTCTTTGCTCATTTCCTTTGTTGAAAAGCACTTTGTGCTGCAGTTCTTGTATGAAAGGTGCTATACAAATGAAGTTTATTATTACTATAATTATTATTTAGTTGATGTTCCCACAGTGTTGCGTGACAGGAGAGAAAACTGTTGGAACTTGTTTTCCAGTCCAGAAACATAAAAAGTGAAACCTCGATCGCTATTGAACCATAATGGTGCAGTTTGGCTCTAAAACAGAAACCTGTTACTATTTAAATCTGCACACGTTATTTTACCAATGAATGGTGAATTCTTCCTTTCTAATTGAACTGTTGTATTTCTGTCTCTTTCTGTCCTTTAGTAGAGCTGGTTAAACTATTGCACAGCATTTTGTGCTCCGTGTACATCACATATCACACATCTATCTGTAAAGAGGACTTCCCACAACCTAAAAGCATGACCTGCCATTCAGAAATATAGAGTCGCTCTCTCAGACATTTGACAGGACACAATCAGGCTTTTGTGGCAGGAGATCACACATTTATTTTGTGGAAACGTTATAAATCCTTACTTTAAACGCTCCAACAATAGAGTTTCCTCTTGATTCACATTTACTCCCATCTCTTCTCCTCTCCATCACTGCATCCTTTGCAAAATACTTCCAGGACTCTGCACTGCCATATCTCTCTGTGGCCAGAACCACACCTCTAGCTGTCTCCATTTGGACCGTCAGGAGCGAAAAACTACAAGTAAGACTAAACTAACGAACCGACATATACTGCAGTCTGAAATACGCTGGAATGTATTCAATTTAAGTTCATTTTGGCTCAGTACAGGGTGAAACTAGACACAGCCTACGTGTCGTCCTTTCTGTCGTGGTTTTCTTTGAAGCACTTCCGTGTTTATTCCTCCCTCAGTTTGGAGAGTCCTCATTGGTCGATTAGGAGTTTAAGGCGGGGCTTCGATAAGACCCAAAAACTAGAATCAGAATCAGAGCCGTTTATTGTCAAGTACGTTACACAAACAAGGAATTTGACTTGGTGAATGGTGCATAAGAATAAACACAGTATTGCACTGTGTTCATTGTTCATTCGAGACATAATAAAAAAATAGAAAAATATTAAAAGTTACAATAAAATATGTTACACAAACAAACAGACGTTAAAACAAGTATATTATAAAAATGGCATGTGTATTTTAATATAGAAAGGATGAGCAAGGGAGTGTAACATAATTGTCCTGGGGATGTAAGAGTCAGAGTTGAAGATGGGAAGAAACTGTTCATGTGGCGTGAGGCCTTGGTCCTGATGGACCACAGCCTCCTCCCAGATGGAAGGGACTCGAACAGTTTGTGTCCAGGGTGAGAGGGGTCGGCTACAATCTTTCTTGCTCGCTTCAGGGTCCTGGAAGCGAACAAGTCCTGGAGGGACTGCGGATTGCAGCCGATCACTCTCTCAGCAGAGCGAATGATGCGCTGCAGTCTGCACTTGTCCTTGGCAGTGGCTGTGGCGTACCAGACCGTGATGGAGGAGCAGAGGATGGACTCAATGATGGCTGTGTAGAAATGCACCATCATTGTCTTTGGCAAGTTGAACTTCTTCAGCTGCCTCAGGAAGTACATCCTCTGCTGAGCCTTCTTGGTGATGGAGCTGATGTTCAGCTCCACTTGAGGTCCTGGGTTATGATGGAGGCCAGGAAGGTGAAGGACTCCACAGCGTCGACGGGGGAGTCACACAGGGTGATGGGGGCCGGTCGGGCTGCGTTCTTGCGGAAATCCACAACCATCTCCACTGTCTTGAGAGTGTTGAGCTCTAGGGTGTTCAGACCACACCAGGTCACTAGATGGTCAATCTCCTACAGTTTGAGGTACTTCTACCTTACTTTACGAGTATTTCCATTTTTAATTAAAGAGAGGCTAACAGGAGTCAAGGATGCATCCTGTTGTTTGTCTGGGCCGATGCATTCAGATAAAACATATCCACCAGTCCTCGTAACTCTGAGAATGACCAAACTACACTATTACTCTGAAACTGTGCCAGCAATTAACTAACGCAAGACAAGGCCAGTTAGCTGTTACAACACTAATGAATCAACCAACATGCTCTTTTGCACTGTGCTGAAAGATCCCGCCGTCTATGAAGGCTGCCAGAGTGTACAGTGGGTGGTGTCAGCTCTGAAAAAATGCAGTCAGGTAGCCATGAATCACTGAGCAAAGGGGGAGTATTATGTCTTATCTGGGTCATAAAGCAGAGACTAGAAAAACAAGAAGAGCAAGAAGTGTATGTCTCAAAGAGATATAAGTGACTGAGAAATGAGCTGATATGTGGTAGATAAAAACACATCTGTTTGTTCTCCCAGGATCAGTTACAAAACAATGAGGCAACTTGAAATCTTTGTCCGTTTCACCCTAAGGCGAGACGAACGCTGACACACCTTCCTCAAGTACTCAGGAATGCGGTCTGGGAAAGAAGAGAAGATTGTAACAATGTACAGACTGTAAACAAAGAAGAAGAGCGGAAGCCAAACCTGCAACTACACAGGACGTGACAGCTACTGGAACTGAGTGAACGAAGGGTTTGACTTATGTGTGGGAGGGAGAAAGAGCAAAGGGAGAAAAATACTTCCCAATAAATAGGCGTGAAAGTTTCACACAACAGTTTCCTGCCATTCAACAACACACAGCACCGGGCGTTCACAGGGACCGGCTGGGCCTCGGAGCTGTTCGTCTTTGGGACTTCTACTACGATGACGGCCGCTGTGTTTGGATTAAACATGTGTGGAGAATCTTAGCCAAAACTTTCAACTTTTAAAAGGAAGAAGCTTCATGTGAAAGCAGTCACCTGAAATTGGACTTTTGTTTAGGGGACGCCTGTCAATACAACTACCTGCCATCTCAATAGGACTTTAATATCACTCTGAATCACCAACTGGACAACTAAGAACTCACTGAAGGAGTGCACTCAGACTGAGGATTTAAAGTTTTATCAGGTTTGTACTTTAAATAAAACAATTACTCGTTAAATGAGGTTTAATTGTGCATCATCGGGTGAATGCGACGTTCTTTATTCAAGTTGTATACTTCCTTTTGTCTGCTAGGACCAGATTACCATTTTGTTTTTCAGTTTTTACAGAACAGAAACTTTAATCATTCTCTAACACACATTAGGTAATCCTCACAAGTTTCTCACAGCCACTACTTTAATGATTCACGGGCCTGTGGAGCATTACATGGTGACTATTATTAACCCAACTCTCTGCATTTGTCTCGAGGTGACAAACACACAGAGCATGCTGGCGTGCCATGTACAGCGCTTTGATAAAATCAGAGATTAGATTCATTTCTGCCATTATGACAACTTGCCAGCCAAGTGGGAGGTTGTGTGATCGGACAAATTTTTCAAGCATTTTTTGTTTTTTTTCTAGTTAACAGGGAGCTCTTGATGACATTACGCCATCCAAAGGCTACTTTCTGTTTCATGATGGAAACACCCAGTTCACAAAAATTCCCATGCTCACTATAGAAAGAGCATACTGTGGGAACATTTTTGAAGAACATGTTGAGGCTTGTGGGGGACTTGTATTTTTAAATTCTTTAAACTGAGATCGTCTGGCCTTGCCAGCACTTTAGGCAACAGTTCAGTCAAACTCAGGGTAAACGTATCAAACCTTATAGACCTTTAATACAAGGTGGTAGCTTGGGAACACATCGCTCTGTTTTTAGCATAAAACATATCAGCAGCAGGCACCACAGGGCCGTCAGTTAGGGGAAGTAAGATTTCTCAAGGAAATCAAGAGAAAAACCTTTGAGCCGTGTTGAATTACACCTGGACCGATTCTTGTTGTCATTATGAGCCAAAAGAAAAACATGTGGGCAAAGATTAGTCTCATTATGAAGGGACATTATATGGGTCTTATTCAGGTTTAATAATCGAGAGAGACGCTGACATTGTGACATTAAACAGAGTGAGTAATCAGAATGTAAACATGAACATTAATGGAACAGAAAAGATACTACCACCTATGAAATGAGTGAGAATCTGTCCCGTTATGTCGATATAATCTGAAAAGAAACTACACGAGTGTTCCTCACAGACCTGGGGCATTAAAGCAGACACATTTTAATTAATTAAACATTTACCTACAGGGCTCGTCTCGTACATAAAGGGTGAAGTCAGTTCCTTAAATGTCACTTTATCTTGAAAAACAAACAATTCTATCAACTGTGAACAAAGTTAAAACCATAAAGCAGCCACTCGGACCAAACCTACAGGAAAATTGCTCTTTGCTTTTCAACCATCATTTGCATATTTCTCACTAATATGTTGTTTTTTAGTAATTTTGGCTTTTCTTAATATCTTATGTTTTGCAGAAATGTCTAAGTCGCATGAAGCGGCGGGGGAGGAGGAGGACCTCCCACTGTACACCATCCCAGGAGAAGGAGCCACACAAAATAATCAAGCATACATCAGCAATGGTCCGGGCGCCGCCTCCTTCTGCGATGACCAGCACCACAGGAAACTCGCCATCTGCAGCATCATCTGTGGGATCTCCTGCATCGGAATCATGGCTCTGATCAATTCAGTCAAGGTACTTTTGAGTCAAAATGTCAAAGCGGCACATTCCACGCTCCTCCACATAACGCTTTCATGTTCACCACATACTCCGGATGTTCTGGTCTGTGGTGCTTCAACACAAACACAGTGAACTGAAAGGAAGTTTGGCATTGAATTTAAAAAAAATGTTGTCTCGTCTTTACCTCAACAGGCTGAGACAGCGGAGGATCCAGAGAAAGCGGCGCCGTTTTTAAAACGGGCAAAAACGTTTGGCATCATCTCCATCGTGGTTTGGGTTTCCATTCTGGTTTTAACTCCCTTGCTGATAGTGCTGATCTCGTACCTCCTCACTCTGGGAGACTGATCAACTTTGAACAATGGCTACAGAAGTCAACCAGAGGAGTGACTTTTTGGATGTTAATGGAGACGGACAGTACAAAGCTCCTCATCAACTACTAAACGCCACGAAGAAACATAAAACAGACTGTTTTCTTGTGCTGATGACGTGACCCCTGTCCCAGTTTACACTATTCTACTTACCGTACTCCAAACCAGGTGTTGTGTTTTTTATGAAAGGATCAACCGCTCTAGAAAACAGTATAAAAAAACGTTACAACTTTGTTATATGCTGTAATATTTATTTAACAATATATGAACATGGACAATTCAAAATCGAAACGACCATATAAAAATCCAGCAGTGCCTATAGTTTGAGACATGACACTATATGACACATATACATTAGAAATGTCATTCACCAATAAAGACCCAATCCTTAATATTACAATTTAACATACTCATTCTGAGATAATGTATATACTACAGATACTACAAAAGTTAATAAATTACTCCATCTGTCAATCTAAAAAGTCGTGACATTAACTTGTTCATCAGGGATTGGGTCTCTACTGGAGGACATGCATGTGATGGCAGTGAGAACAAGATCCTGCTCTTATTGACAACTTTACCGTGGCAATATTGCATTGTTACCATTCTAGCTGTATTAATGTCAAATGTATCAATATGTTGTACTTTTATACAAACAGAAACTATTTCATAATAAAAACGACTTTGTGCTCCGATTTGTTTGAAGGATCTTGACCCGCCCTCGTAAAAACAATTACCAACAACATCTATTTAAACATTTTACAGTTAAGGCAATCTCGTCGAAATTTGGCCAACAAGAAAAATACATACATGAGCAGTTCATCCAGAAGTTACATTCGCAATACAAATATAGACGGCACGAAACCATCCAGAGAACCACAGGTCATTTAAAGCCAACCAGCAGTGGAATCTCAACACCGTATTGTTTCCAAGTTATATTTCATGCAACATAAACCTCTTCAGCCACGAAATTTACACAAATAATTGAACAATTGAGAACTGAGCTGAGTAGAATGATGAACAAGTGCTACTTGTAGACACACTTGACAGTACATATAAATCACAGACAAAAACTTGGTTGTGAAATTGGCAGAGGCGAATACAAATCTCTTGCTGGCATGGAAAAAAGTTATATTCAGCATGTAATAAATCAGCTGCCTTTATGGATTATCTTACAATAATGCTGCAAGGTCACGACTGCTCATGTAAATCCGATGCATTGTGCATTTAAGAAAAGAAAACGGCATCATCACGCACCCAGGGAGGATGTGCAGATGTGAAACTCCGGGTAAGTCTGAGATTTAAAAAAACAACCGAATACTGAAAATGTTACGATACCGTACAAAGTGCTTAAACCGAGAACGTTTGTTTCTCAACTGTTTCACTCATCAGATGGAAAGCTGCCAGGGGAAAAATGGACGTCGGAGGTTTACTGTCAAATCAGCAACTTACTGTGTGAATCCTACAACCACCATGTTTATAACCAACTTCTATGAGGGAATCCCCTCCGATGCTATGATGTGTCGTTCTGCAACTTGCAGGCTACACATGTTACAGAACATAATTCTTTAATAACAACTTGTCACCACAACAATCGGACACAGATTGTGCTGATGAAGAAAAGCGCAGAGGTTGAGAATACATTAGAAACAGTCGTATAAGCAGAATTATCTCCCGCAGTGGTTTTCTATTCTATGGCTGCCAAACAATCTGTCAGCTGTCTGTCTGATCATTTATCAACCACAGACTGAGCTGATCGAGCCTGGCACAGAGAAGAGAGTCCACATCCTGCACGCTGAGGGACGGCTCGTCTTTAGGGAAGCACCTCCGTCTCGTCCTGGAAGAGGACATACCTGCTTTTCCAACACCAACAAGTGGCTTCTTTGGTTTTCTGACCTCGCCGGCATCCAGGAACTCCAGGAATCGTTTGACACGCCTCTGGCCGTACCAGGACGAGGAGCCGTCCCGGCGATTGAGAGGCACCTCGAATATGGTCTCCAGCCGGCTGAAACCAGAGTAACAAATTCTCATCAATGAGTGAGTTCATACATTAGAACCCAGCATATCAGCAGGTGAAGCTGATTTAAGTAACTAATCTTTCCTCTGGTGCCACCCTCTGGTCAAAGCTTTGCTCACTAGCAGCAACAATGTAAACTCTAGTTGCGTCCCAAATCCATACGACACCATATTTTCAGCCAGACAGCCACTTCTAACGCAAAACTGAAATTATGCCATTGACAACAATAGTAATTTTACCTCAGTCCACAAAGTTGCTGCCTCCATCGGTTAGTTTGGTTGTGTGAATCCGAATTAACCTTTTAAAAACACCAAAGTCACACAACAACAACACAAACTAACTAACAGATCGAGGCAGTGGTAGACCAGCAACTCCAGTGTTCTGCGTTGGTAAAGCAGTGAACATATTGTAAATATAGCACACACTTAGACTGATGTTGATTTCTTTTAGGAGTCTATGATAAAATAAGTTTTGCTCCTGTGTTGGTACTCCTGTTTGTTTATACAAACTGGGGGCGTGCTGAGTTTGACAGCCATGTACTGTCTGTCACAAACAGACTATGGATAAGTACCTGATACAACCCTGCTTCACAACATCCAAACTATCCCTTTAAGTATGTTGACATCCTGTCAAGTGCAGAAACGGTATACTACAAAGATGTAGAATATGGAATTAGGACACAGCATGTGCCTCCATTGTTTACAGCAAGGCTTCAACAAATCCCCTTTTACACATTTTGTGTTGTAATCCCATACATTTCAATGTTGAGCAATAAATTATAGAAAAAATGGATTTATATTTATTTATTATTTGTCTGACTCCTTATTTAAAAAGGGAACTCTGCCGCTCCATATGTCCAGGGACACAACGTCGAGCTATCATTTATTAAGTTTGTTTTACTGTTCCAAAGTCTAAAGGGAAAAGGTGGTGAGGCTGTAATATGTGTTGTACAACTGTTTTTATATTTGGTAAAGATTAATGAACTTTATGAAATACCTATTTTGTGTGTGTGTAGTGTTTATATGACTCAATGTTGTAAAGTTGACCTTACCTTTCAGGGGGTTTGCTGAAGTTCTTATTGGTGTAAATTTCTTCCAAACTAAACTCCTTCTTTTTCAGCCTGTGGTGCAACATAAGAAGAAAACACTGTTACAAGCAGTCTAAATATGGATCAGAGTGTTCAATAGACAACATGTATTGACAAATTAACCCTCAATGGCAGATGAACGATCAAAAGTGACCTTGTATATTTATAATCAGCAGACCTTTTACCTGTTGTACCTTATAAACAAGTCAATATTCCTGAGCTAGTGCGTTTCTGCTACCGAGACAGGGGAAAATATAAATCCCTAGAAAGCTGTGAGATTCAGTTAAAAGTACAAAAGAAGAAACCGACTATGTGGACCTTTGAGCGGAGATTCATTTGTCACACACATTGTTCTCTAGAGTGATCTCCCCCGCTCATTTATTTGGGTATTTACCTGATGGGTCTGGGCAGGCCCATGGGTGTCAGGTTGTTCTGAGGTTTGGGTAAAGTCTTCCGAATTCTTATAGCTGACACTTTCCCTCGTTCCTCATGCTTTTGCACCACCTGTGATGATGAACAAGAGGATTGGTAACCTAAATCGTTCTGAAAGCATTGCAAAATATTTGACAAAATGACAAATGCCAGTGTCAGGTCTTTAAAGTGCTGATTTTAGCATAATAAACAGTCCAAAAATGTAAAAGGATTCGTAATTAAATGATGCTCGACAATGTGTTATTACACCTTTAGCACAAGATGTCATTATATTGAAGTGAAATGACATATACCTTGATCTCAGAATCAGACAAAGCCTTTTCTTCTCTCAACCCTACGTCTTCAAACTCCTGGCTGGATGAGCTTGTGTCCTCGCCATCATCCTCCTCTTCGCTCTGTTGTCTTCTCTCCATCTCACACGCCAACAGATTCCCACTGCAAAGACACCAAGAGGGAATATCAGCACAGCATCGTTTTACATATTATAACGGATCTTAAAGAGAGTCTTACCTGCTACTATAGTCCAACGTAGTAGAACTAGACGAGTCAATTCTTTGGAGGAATACCGTTGGGTATTTTGGAGAACAGGAGGCGGGAGAGGAAACATGACTGGAGGTACTGGGGCTGGTGGTAGCGCCTCTGCTGTCGACCTTCATGGAGAGGAAAGCCAGGGGGCTTGACAGGAAACAGGAAGCAAGAGCGGTGAGGGAAGAGCTGGGAGAAAGTGCAAGACTAGGAGACCACCTGTCGTACGGGAGGGATCTTCTGGACGGGTACACCTCCTTACGAAGGCAGAGCGGGGCGATCTCCCGCTCCACTTCTACACTGGAGACCGTGTGTCGGCGAGCCCGCAGCAGGGACTTGTGGGCATGGTGGACGGGAGTGTGGGAAGACTGGTGTGTTGTGTGGTTCCTGCTGTGATGGGACGAATGCAGAGCGGAAGTCCAGGAGGTGTCGTGGACACGAAGTGAGGGGATCTCTGGGCAAGAGTAGCTGCGCAACAGGCGCCTTGACAAGTCATTTCCTTCTGAGTGAGAACTTGCTGTAGCCAGGTCTGCATCGTCCATAGTGATGGACTTGGTCACCTCTTCACCTTTACATGTCCTGCTATGCAGAACCCTGCATCTTCTCCTTTCTTTGTCTGCTCTTCTTGGCTTCATATTAGCCCTTCTTGCAGTGATGCTGCTGTGGTTACTGGCTTCAGCGTCAGTGGGAAATAACTCCTCTGATACAGAAGCAGCACTCTTTTCTTTCCCATTGGTGACGTGCTTAACTTCATCGTTTGATTGTACAGAGCCGTTTAAATTAGGTTGGGAGGACGAAGGAACAGGTTGTTGAGTACTTTCAAAAGGTGTCATTTCAAAATACAAAGGGTCCATTGAGACTTTACCGTTGCCTTCATCGGGCTGGTTTTCTTTGGCTATCAAATGACGGTCATGGATACACTGCTTTGTCTCTTGAGTCCCACCTGATGCAGACGATTTAACAACCACTTTAAAACCCCTTTTGGTTCTCTTGGACGGCTGGGCCAGTCCCGTTTTCGAGCCATCCTCTTTTTGAACGCACTGAGAGGCGTTCAAGACTGTGGGCATGAGATCTAATGGCTCTGTTGATAGTGCAGAGGAGGTAGAAAACAAAGTGCTGTCTGATTCTGGAGTTGAGCTAAATTGGCTCGGCGATTTCCGTTTGACTGGTTTCTTGTTGATATTCCGGGGCTTGCTTGTGCTCTGGAGCGGCTTTACAGTGGGACGGGTGAGGACTTCTGAGAGCTTTGCCTGCTTGGCTTGTTTTGTAGAGGTGATAGCCGTGCTGGTTTCCAGTTTCATACGGTTATCGATGTTTACTTGAGGTTTACCACGGTCTGTTCTGGTCCTCAGCTCTTTGCACGATCCCCTGGGCTTCTCCTTGCTGCTGCCCTTTAAGTTATCCTCTGACACACCACTGCCTTCATCCAGTGAGTAACTCTCGGTCTGTGTGATTAACACGGTTTCATTTATTGTAGCAATTATTTCTTGTCCATTTTTTCCTTTCTTATTTGCTCTTGTTGAAACAGACGGCCTTTTTCTGACAGGCTTCAGCATTTCTTCCTGATGTACAATGGGATTTGTCGACACAGCTTCTCTTCTTGTTGGTCTCAATATGCCAACATCTGAAGCCACATTTAATAACTCTCGTCTTTTTGTACATGCATCTGCTGTTAATCTCTTCCTCTTCACAAAGTCTTGGGAATGGCAGTCGAGGTCCACCCATCTCTTTGCTCTCCCAAGACCTGAAGCGGAATAAGTTTCAGGGTTCAGCTGACAGTCCAGCTCCTGAGTATTCAAAGAAGGCTTCAGTGTTCCTCCATTAGCACCGTCACTTAACTTTTTTAGGTGGCTGGGGCGATCCAGACTTTCTATTTTCCTGCCATCATCATCATCATCATCATCAGGCTGAGGACAGTCAGTGTCAGGCTGAGCATAACAGACGGAATCAGCTTTGTTTGATTTCACTGAATTCACGTGAGAAACCTGCTCACCACTAACCTCAGACTCTTCCTTTTTTACTTTAGATGTTGAAGTCTTAGAGGAAACTTTCTTTACTGAACATTTCCTTGGCAGTGGTTTCAGCTGGGCAGCCAATTTGCCTTTCTGGTCCACGATAGCACCAGAGATATTTACCTTGTTTTCATGTGAGGCACTTATATTGAGAGAGGGCTGTAACAATATCGAGGACCTAATAACGGACCCTACAGATCCGGAAACGTCCTCAGAAACAATGCAGGGTAAGGGGCTGCGCTGCAAAGGCACAGAATCAGGAGAGTTCTTTTCCTTTTGGCTTATTGCACATTCATCCGCCCGTTCGGAGCCATGGGTTGGCAACTCTACATCGAACAATAATCTTTTTGAATATTTAAGAGCAACAGTTTCTGCATTTGGTGCACCTTCTACTTCACTGAGCCTCTCATCCTCACTTTGTGCTGCTGAAGGAAACACATCACTTGGCGCCGAGTGTTCACCATCAGATGCTCTAGTGGGCTGCAGCTCAGGCTCGTCGGGTTTGTCTGGAAGGTCCGTGCACGGTGGAGGACTATTAGCTCTGAAGAGTTTAACGGGACTCATGACTATCTCTGTGAAACTGGCCATCTTGGACTTGAATGACTGAAACAAGGGGCCGATCACCCATCCCTTTGGCGGGGACGCATTTTCAAAAGAGTGTCCAACAGCCAATCCCCCCCCACATGTATCCATGTCAGGTTCCGTGGTGTCAGGATTCTGTGTGGTATCGACAGCAAACTGCTCGACCACATCTTCTTCAGTCTCTGGGCTTCTCTGGTCGATTTGCCTAAAAAAGTAAAAAGTAAAACGGGAAATTAGACTTTCAAAAACAGAAATCACAAGACAGAATGTGTCATTATGTCAAATAAAAACACCTACATATAACTTTCGTATGATATGGTGTGTATAAAACGTCTTCTATCAGGCCGACCTCTCTCTAGATCTCTGTTAATAAATCTGTTCCACAGACACGATATTGTAGCTCATATGGAAAACTACTTGCATGTCTGCATCACAGACTCTGCTCGCATCGCTTCTCTAAGTTATTAGTAACTTACTTGGAATTCTGCTTTGTTACTTTTTGACCCACCTGCCGAACCCGTCACATTTTCTAGTAACCCTAACCCAAAACCGTCCAAACCCGCGGACGGTTCAACCCACACATCGTTACTGACCACAGTTACCAGCAGACAGTTTTTCCAGATAATTAAAAACATCCAAGTAAACAAACACCATATCAAGTATAAAATCAACTAAATGATCATCATGCATACAGGAGCTGAGAAGACTTTGCTATAACACTTACTTATTTTGGCGCTCTGCTGCAAAACTCTCATCAAATCCATCCTGAGAAAATAAATACATAAACAGTTTACAGTCGTTTTCAGAAAATTAAGCAGAGTTGTGCTACAAGCAATTAAACAACCAACAATAAAACTCTAAAATGTTGCTTTTGTGAAAAAGCATTAACGTCTCTTTTTCCATTTATAAAAGGAAAAAAAAGTCGGAAAGTTTTTCAAACCTAATTCAATTTTGATCAAATTTAAATAAAACACTTTGCGTGAAAGAAAAATGTATTCAACATTTTCGAAAAAAATTGGTTTGGTACTTTGGAAATTATAACAGCCAATTTATTCGATTGTTTATTCAGTCATTTGTGTGGATCCTGAAACACTGGTGCTGGTTCACCTCTACAATGAAGACACATGGCATCCTGTATCCATCACGTTTATGCGCTACTGGGTCACAATAAGACACTCGATTGCTCGTCTGTGTCGGATGCAGAAGGCCGTGAAGGGAGATTAAAATCACTCAATTAACCCTCACACCCCGCTCACTGTACCGGTCTCCAATGTTGACATACACAGACGTAAAGAACAGCTGCTGCACAAACAGATCACTCACTGAAAGCTGTATTACATGAAATATACCATCAAGGGCATGCAGACAGAGACCCAACAGAGACACAGAGGGTTTAGCTGAGTGTGGAACATCTAGAGCAACGAAAGACATAACTGACCTCCTTTTGATGCTCATGTTCATGCGGGCCTTCAACTCTTTGCTGCTTGGACTGTGACACCTACAAATCAGAGAGACGCATGAGCAGTGACTCGTCAGGTTATTGAAGAGGCCCTGAAAAATATGTTTTTAAGTTTAACTCTTACCATGTTTGCACCCTCTCTTTGTCTCTTTGTGGGGGCCAGATCCTGTCTGGGTGGTTTCTGGGCGGCTCCGTTGTCTGTGTTGCTCTGCTTCTTCGGGGTTTGTGGTCGGATCTCTTGAATGCGGCCACTGAGTCTGTGTCCAGATATTCCATTTTTCGCACAGCTGTGAATCAGGAAGTCAAGTCAATATGCAGTATACGGAATTAATGTTAAGAAGTGACAGCTGATATAATAGCATGCCGCCACTTCATTCTTCATTTTAAAACAGCGAAAGCAACGATCAGTGACGCCTAAAAATGAGAAGCTGCTCGCTGAATGCACACTGCTCTTTTCTACTTTGAGAGAAGCGATAACAGATTAGTTACTGTCGGAGTTTCGTGAATCGGTGTGTTTCGCCAACCCGGGTCAGAACAGAGTCACTCACAGGTGCAAACAAATCACTTTTCACATTCACACGCTTTGATTTTCCCTTTGGTACGCAGTACACTGCACAGCCTGGCTGCCATTACGCAGGCTGAGGTGGACCAAACAGTTCAGTAGAGAAAGGATCAGATTTTGATCAGCTGTATTTTAGCTGATACCGATACCTTTGGATCGGCTGGGGACATCCCTAACCTGTACAAGTATCAGCAACAAAATTACTTAAAAATACATTATCCTCACCAGAACCATCTTAACTTATGACCAACATGCAACACATCAAGCATGAATATTCTAATTAGTCATTTTGATAACCTTATCTGCTTGAATGTGATAAATACTAGCCCACTGTAAACTTTCTGAGCATGTCTTACATATGTTTTTGTGGCGACTGAAGGGAACAGACACACTTAAAAACACTTGCAATAATCCTTCAGCTGAGGTGGGACTGTTAACATCGACCACGTTATTTCAAATTAAATGTTACAGGTTGCCTTCGTGTCTCTGTGCTGCTCGTCTCTATTGGTGACTGAAGACACTTGAAAAAAACCAATTCAGTCGTTTGTAATCGGGTGCCGAGACCACAATGTGCTTTGTAGACATCTAAATGCATGATGAACAGCAGCACACCAGATTAATTCAAATGGAGAAAATACATTTTCATAATCTCAGCACTGATGGAAATTCACATTTATCAGACTTTTTCCATATATGTCACATTCTTGTATGTCCTAAATCATTCAATCCATAAAGGGGAAAAAACAGCAAGGAGGGGAATAAACACCTACAGCAAAAGAAAGCAAAAGGTGCCACAAGAACTATACCTGGGAGTGACGGAGGAAAGGGGGAGGAGAGGTGGTGGAGGTTCACTGTGGGGAGGTGCGCTACAGAAACTGTTTGGGGGAATCGCACATTCATCCATTGGACAAACTATCTGATGGAGGGAGTCAGAGGGATAAGTCAACATCCCCTTGCTCTCTCTTTCTCTCCTTGTCTGTAAATAACAAGGGAAAAACAAACAAACATGCAGGGTATGAAATCAGTATGAAAGGACTTCGAAAAAGGTCTTAGAAATGAAGCTTCGCTTACTTTTCTGATCTCTGGGACGGCGGTTTATTCTGAAATGAGGAAACATCTTTTAATAAGTTCCTTTTCAAAATGGAAAAATATTCATTGGCATATATACAATGTCAGGAAATAGTGAAAAAAGGCCCCTCACATTCCTCTTAAACCCAAGGTGACTCACATACAACTAAAGAAAGCCCTCAAATCATAGAAGCTGCAATTAGGGAATTTTGGCATAATAGCTTTACAAATGACCATGTCAATTATTTGATTATCAAAATAGTGTTCGGTTGAATAGATTAATTGAGACATTTTCACTATTTTCTGACATTAGACCAAACAATGAACCGATGTGCAAATAATCGTTAGTTGCAGCCCTAAACCAAAAGTGGCAAAGCAAGAGAGAAACGAGACTAAAGTAAAGATTTAGATAAACATTGACACATTAGAGAGCATTCATGAGGAAATTAACTCATTATAATAGAATTATACACAAAGTCAATGAGGCTGAGAGAGATCTCTTCCATGGAGCCAATTAAAATGTTAACATATCTTGTAAAAAGGTTTACATTTGTTTGTTTTTTAAACAATAACTTTCTGGAGGGTCATGACAAGGAATACATTTAATGTACAAGTATGGTGGAGGTTATTGTCTATCGTGAAAATGTTGGTTTCGAGCTTTATTTAAGATTGAAGCAGTGATGCAAAACCATAGAAGACGTTTATCGTCAACATCAACACAATAAAGATGTTGTGAGGTCTTTGTGAGTCATAGTTCACACACACAAACATGCACGTTAGTTACCGTTAGACTAGCTAATCATCTTGCTAACTAAACTGACTTAAAAACATATTTTATAGCCAATTAGATAGCAATGCATCTCAGTGAATGTTTTCAATCAAATGGAAGCGGCGGTTCGATTTCAACTGCGCGAGGTCTAAATGCTGGAATGGACAGTTTCAAATTCAAACTTTTAACGCGATATGTGAGCTAACGTATGTTAACATTAGCCAACGGTATTCTTCTGTTATTCATTATCGTAAAAAATATTGTCAATTAAAAACACTTCAGCCACATCTGAGCGGAGCTTTACGGTGACTCCGTCAACACTGACGCCGTTATTCACACCGTGTGTAATATAACGCTACAGTTTCTGCACCGGGGAGTAGTCGTAGCCCCGGGGAGCTGTCATCTCTCCTAACGTTTGAGTGCTCTCTACGGGGTAACTAGACATACCCCGGGTTTAGCACGTTGGTTGCAAACGGTTATCAAGGCTGAAGCAAAGTAAACACACTTACCAGAGACGTTAACGTGGACCACGGGCTCGTATTCCGACCCTCACCGTAAACAACGCATGCTGAACGGTGCCTCTACAGCGACTCGCAAATGTATCCGTTTTTACGAATCCAACAACCAGACAGACGGATGGACCAATCACAGCGCGAGTTGCTTTCCCCCCGGGAAGTCTTGTTGAAATCTGACCAATCAGAGAAGACCTTGAGTACGTCGTAGGTGGAAGGTGGCCAATAGGTGAGCGACGATAAACGGCTAAATAAAAAAATGATAGTCTTCTTTATGTCCTCGGCTGACCTACTATCTGTAAAGCCCCTGAAGACCCACATTTAAAATAATGAATGGCGTTGGATGTTGACAACATTAATTAAGAGCACCTTATTCACAATAACATTATCACCAGTGAAAACGTTTTGTCACACAGATGACGTCACACTGATGGATTACTGAACGGGCCTCGTAATGAGTGTTAACGTTTGTTGTTTTAAAGTATTCTACATCTCATACATTGATACAAAGAGACGCAAAACTACTAATAGGCCTCAACTGACTACAAGGACGGAAGACAACTAAACGATTACAAAGAGACACAAAACTATTTCAACACACAAAAAACGATCACAAAGTGACACAAAATGACTACAAAGAGACACAAAATGGCTACAAACATGACTACTTTCAGTCCGGGGGTCTTGCCCTTATTTAAAAGGGTCTGGGCAGATTGTCTCATAACCCATCTATGATTAAACTACAGTTGACTTGTAACTAAATTGTTATATTGTTTCAAACAAAATTGAATGGTAACTTCTGTTATAAATAAAAGATATTGTAGTCACACATTAAATTAAATCAATGTTCCACAAGTCAAATTTTATACAAATCACTACTTTGGGTTGCAATTTACAATTATTGTTTGGTCTAAAACTAGAGCACATGATGATTAGTCATGAACCTAAAAATATTCAATTTGCTACAATGTAAGACAAATAGAAGCAGCAAATTTTCACATTCAACAACCTGGGAGCTTGTTTAAAGTACTGTTATCTGCGCACTTTATTTTATAGTAAATTTTAATTTGTTTGCACTGTGTTGATTGTTTAATGTTAAGCACTATCCACCATGTAAAATTCCTTGCACGATGTGCATCATACTGTGGCAAAATAAACAGTTCTGATTCTGATTAAGAGTTTGGTATTTTTGCTTGAAAGGTGATGTAAATTAGGATTTATTTTCTTTTGATCAACTACTTATTACACAGACTTGTACTGTCAAAGTTCAGTATGTTATCTCATCACTACTGACATAAAAACACATCCAGCATACTTAGAAGAATATTGAAAGAATATAAATAATTTGAATTGGCCGGATATTTTATACGTCTTATATTTTATAACACTGATGCATCTGTGACTATATGCAAACTAGATACAATCTAATAACTACCAAAGGTATCCAGCGGTGAATACGTGAAGCTGTGTTTGACATTTCTGTATTCTATTCACTGAGAATATGAATTTCTTCGCAGCATATGTGCCATTCAATACAAGCTAGTACAGCAGTATATTTTCCTCTCAACAGTAGTAAGTACACAAGTGAGAAACACTCAAAGTAACAAAATAATTCAAATAAATGTATAAAATATAAATGTGTCAATGTTAAGTGGAACTTCACTAAATGATTAGAATTAAATTTGTTCTCATTGACGCATAAATGAAAGTGATTTGGTTCTAAGAAATACAATAACAAAGACAGAACAAATGTCTGATAGCAACAACACATACATGAGTTATTTATTTAAAAACAATGTACAGAAAACAAAGCCCCTGCTAAAATGATAGATGTGACACCAAAGCCACCAAACAATGAAAACGTTTCATGACCGTGATGGTTGCGATTCATTTACTGCTGGACAGAAATCATGTATACAGCTCAAAATCTAGTCTCTTGGAGTTGTAGAACTGAGTTCCCTTCTGGTCGATCCTCTTGCAGTAAACGCCGGTGCTGAAGTAGCCTTCGTCCACCCAACCCTGAAAAACAGACAGTGAGAAGATTAAAACCCACCTGGCCAGATCTGATGTTAAAGCTAGAACCAGCCTGCAGCCCAATAACCTAGTAAACATAATGGGATTTACTAATAAAGGTACATAAGTATGGAGGAGAAAAGGAGTACCGGCACTGAAGCAAAGTAATGTAATACTGTGGATGAGAGCAGCAGCAAAACGAATATTAGAAACCTAAAAAAAAACATCAGTATCAGTTTGACTGTACGCTTCTTCAAAGAATAGTTTTGGCCCTTAACCGTGTTGTCAAACAGCTCTTTTCAAAAGGAAAACTGAAGCCGTTATCAACGCTCTCTTCAAAACAACGAGACTACTTTGACTCATTTTACCTTCAGAAGAGCTACTGGTCTGCCGCTGACTCAAGCGGTTAGTTTGTTTGTGTTATTGTGTGACTTTGGTGAATCAGACCTAACCCTTAAAAATATCACGGTCACACAATAGCACAAACTAAAAATAGTGTACATTTAAACTGATATTGATTTTTTTTTTTTTTTAGGTGTCTTAAATAGGTCTACAGCAGTACATTGCTTTGCTGCCGTGCCGGTACTCTACCGTGAGTAATACACTGACTGTGGTTAAGTACCTCACACAACCTCACTTCAATACATCCAAACTATCCCTTTAAGTTTGTGCATGTACTTGATCATACTTTAAAACACACATACATTTCTAATATGACCATAAACATAAAAACCTGAACTATGTCCCATTCCATACTTGAAAACATCACAAATAAACAAAAACGTTATTCTAAGAATGTACACCTTTATGAATATAAGTTCTGAGCTCTTGCCTGAACTATAACCACAATTTTCTATAACTATTTTTAAAGTTACTGTGTTTCTTTCTTTACTTGTCATGTTTAAGATAACAAGCAGAATACCAAATCCATACTACATATTATTTCCAATAAACATATTCTGTTTTAAACAATCATCAAGTATACTCAAAGACTTTAGTACACATCCTTATTTCCTTCCCTTTCGAGTGAGCATTTGTGGATGTCATAATCAAACTGGTACACACCTAAAAACTCAAGAACTGCATTGATTACCTGCATCTGCTGACTGGTAAAAGGGCCGAAAATCTCCGAATCCTCCTTGTTTTCCCATTTGTACTCCCACATCACTTCATCGCTCACTGAGAGAAGACAAAACCGGATGAAACAAAACAAGATATTTTGTACTATTGAAGGAAAATGCATACTAGTAACGCTACGCCACCTATTTTGTCTTCTTCGTCCTCCTTTGCTCTGCCTGTTTGCGTCTCGTCAAATTTATCTGCGAACATATCAAGTTCATCTTCTTCCTCTTCACCACCTTGGTTCTTCTCCACAGCTGGTCGCTTGCTGCTCATGCTCTTCATCAAATAGGCCAGTTTTTCATACGTTTGCTGATAGATCTCAAACATCCCAGATCCGACCAATCTGTCAGCTAGTGATGTGAGCCTGTCGAGCTTTTCTGTATCCCGTTTGTTCTCCTCCGTGGGTTCACTCTCCTCCCTCAGCTTCCCCTTCTTCCGTCCTCCAAGGCCTCCTAACCGACGGAGCGCTGTGGCGACCGTCTCCCCGGGCAGCAACAGTTCGACCACAGCTTCAGTGAGCTGGTGCTGAGTGAAGGACGCCAGCGGGTCCTCTGCAGGCTCCATCTCCTCCTCTTCGTCTTCTGCTTCGTCGTTTACTTTGCCTGCCTGCTTCTCTTCTCTCTGCTTCTCTTCCTCAGCCTCATCCTCGTCACCGGCTCTGCGTTTCCGTTTGGCTCCAAGACCTTTCTTCTTTTGCTTGAAAGGTTGCTCTTTTACTCTCACCTGGAGGAAGCAACTTACATTATTGCACATTGCTTGAAACGTTTTCAGAGATGACTCAAAATGTCACTGAAATACAATTACCCAATCAATGTTGTCAAGCCAGTTGTCTCTGATCTGTTCTTCCTTTTTGATGAAGTAGTTTCCCTCAGAGTCAAAGTATCCTTCCTGCATCTCCTCGTCCAGGTTGAACGGTGTGATAGAAACTCCCTCGTCATAGTCGATTGTCGCTCCCTCTTGGCCTAAAAACGTAGTTAATGTGGTCTCAGGTGAATTCATTACTGATAAGACACGTTTCGGCAAAACATCACCTTGCTACATTCATGGCACTTTTATGTTGCACGAGTGGACAAAAAAATCTCCAGTGGTAAAGAATTCAGGCGCTTCTTGTTAAGAGCTTGCTTCCTTAATGCTTAATTCAAATTTGTATGATTGGGAATCACATAGATTTATACTTGTGAAGATCTTGTACATATATAATCATTAGTGTATGTTTGTATATTCAATAAGTGTATATATGTTATATTCAAGAAAGCAAGACCACCTCTCTGTCATCTATCACTTCATAGTTACAGTTCAAATGTTTAAGTATACATACCCTCCACGTCATCACTGGCCAGAATATCGTATTTGTTGCTGCTGCTTTTCGTCTCTTCCCCTTCATCCTCTTCGTCGCTATCAAGGGAATGTTTGCCCTTAAACCTGGAGCCTGGTCCACTCACAGCCTCGCAGATCTGGTTCAACAGTAGAAAAAGAAAAGAAAAGTAAATATAACATTAAAGATTATACAGGCATCCCTTTTCTTGCTTGATTTATTGACTTATTTCCATGTCCTACCACCACCGTCATTGATTTAGCTTCATGGAATGAAGGGACAGAGGATCCTGCACCTGTCTAAAGCATTCAGCAAGAACAGGCAAACATGACAAACTCCTCCTTACTTTCACTTTGATGGCGATCAAGCAGAGCTTCAGAAGTCATTACTACAATCTGTATCGGCCTCACTGGACCAAAGGCAATCTGGTGCTGGTTGTTAATGTCTTATAAAAGGTATTTATTTTCACCTGTGACCATTTAGTTGCCAAATGATATGGTTGCAGTGGTGGAATGTAACTAAGTACATCTACTCAACAACTTTTTACTTCTATTCACCACATCTCAGAGGTAAACATTGTACTTTTTTTTAGTTACTTCTCAGATTAAAGTTTTTTATCCCCTTTCTATTCAGTGAAAACCTCATAATTCCAGATGTATTGATATTGAATGTTTGGGATAAATTTTATGCGTTAATAAACTATTTTAAAAGCCTCTTGGATCAGCTGGAAAATGCATCGCCACAAAGCTGAAAACCAGGCTGTTTGTCTGAGCTCATGAAGACTTTCTAGAGATGCATGGTTCTCACAGGACAGCGAAGCTACAAACATATGATGATCTTATACTATAAGATCATCATATGTTTGTAGCTTCCTATAAGACTTATAGGATATGATGCATTGCTGTGGATTAAACTATGCAACAGCATATAAAGTAGTTACAATGAGCACAACTTTAAACATGTGACATTAATGCAGCAGTAATAGTATTCACTGCACAATGACTACTTTTTCTATCCATACTTTAAGGACATTTTAATGACAATAACTTACTTTCATACTTTTACATAAGTACGGTTTTGAATTCAGGACTTTTACGTGTGGTGGAGTAAAGGGTCGAAATACTTCTCCCACCAATGATTGTAGGGATAGTTACATCCATGCAGCCCTAACTAACTAACTAGTTAACTAACTAACTAACCAGTGATGTACTTAGATGTCTCGTGCTCACGTTACCTTTTTGTTTGGGAGCTCGTCATCCAGCTCTATCTCTTCGTCCCCGTCCTCAAACGTAACTTTCCTCTTCGGCATGGTGCTACACGAGGGAAGACAGGGCCTCTGTTATTACTCACACGCTGCTAACTTTGTCTTTGTGATATTAGTTTAGTGGCTTTATAACACGTCCACACAGTAGGTTCCTGTTACGTTGTGAATATGAGCGGTTAACACACAGCTCGTGTTAGCTTTGTTGCTACAAATGTTAGCCAACAGCAGCAGCGCATGCAGAGCAAGTAAAGCATTTATCACAGGGCAAACTCATGTTAGAGGCGAGGTTACGTTGAGTTAACTCTTATAATACAACCTCTATATTACGTTGGTGTGGAAATATACAAACAAGGCAAACGCATTGATATTTAGCTGGAAAGTGTGTCAGGACCTGATCAAAATAATTTAAACGACGTACGTTTTCGTTTCTTCTTCGGCTTTTTGTTTTCTTCTTCTTCGGCTTCTTAATGTCTGCACTTGTTAGTAAACAACGACAAGGCGCATTACCGCCACCACCTGGTGAGAAGTGTGGATCGGATATGTACCACACGTTTAAAATCACAAATAAAAATCCTGCATTTCATATATTACTTACGTAGTTGTGCAGTTTTACAAGCAAATTATTGTTTGACTTGGCCAAACATCTGAGTCACTATTTTCTATTCTGTCACTATACAACAGCTATGGAAGAAAGACTAGGCATGGTTTTATTGGTATTAGCCAGACTTTATTACAGTTATTGTCATGATAAATGCAATTTGTAATATTTGACTGGAGTTCTATAATTCAGTGTATTTGGAGTAACAGTATGTTCCTGTTTATCCGTTACTTGGGGTGACACTGACAACTGCTAACTCTGGCGGAAGAAGAATTGAGGTAACTTCGGTTAAGTAAAAAATATCACATACAAATTCTCTATTGTAAAATGCTATTCTGAAAAACACAATATATATGTATTGTGTTTGGTACTCAATCTTTCTTTATATATGATTTGTCTCAATTTTTAATTGGTTATATTGTAAAATATAGTATGAAGATGTTATCGTTTCATAATGAGAATGTAATGCTTGATGACCAATGTCCATGACTGAAATGTTGTTCTTAAATAAATAGATATTCAAAGGCAATGACAGTGTGCAGGAATTCAACACATAAACACGAACACAGAACATGTAAATTCTTGGCATTCAGTTTTTGGCTAAACCTTTGACCTTAGGTTTATTACAGCCCCTGATCCAGTCTGTGCAGACACGCTGCACTGAATATAAATCCCTGTAAATCTCTTCACGTTTGACTATTTTAGATTTTGAATTCCCTGAGGTCCTTGAGGATAAAAAGGATAAGTGTGTGTCAAAAATAAATACAACTGGAAAAAATGTAGCAGCCCATTTTCAAGAGGTCATGTTTCCTTACTTTTAATTTTTACTTATTCCAATATAGAGAATAATAGAGAGAGAGACAAATTCGGCCATGACATTGCTTTAAAAGCAGAGAAGGGAATTTGACACAACTGATATTTTATCATAAACAATTATTCATTATATCTGAAAATAAGCTGCACATCTCCCTGAAGAATCACCCATCTAAGGGACTTTTGCTCTACACACCACCAGAGATTAAAATAAAACTCATCTGAATTTTAAAAAAAAAGTAATTTAAAATGCAGAAGTGAGAGAGCCGAAGCAAACACATCAGACCTCCACTTCAACATCCAGCGTCTCACTTCCAGGTAGCAGTTGTTGTTAGTGACTGCTCGGTTCGGCTGATCCACTAGCTCAGGGTCGACTCAAGCGGAGAGGAGAGAGAGAATATAATATGTCAGGATTTTGTTACAAGGAAGTGGGTCGAGTTATTTATATTTCAACACTCGTCCTCTCGCACCCGAGGGAGAACCAGTGGTAGTAACCTGAAACCATATGTTCAAACATTGTCTGGTTCTGGATGCATCGAACTGGTAGAGAACAATTGGCTTCATGTTGAGGACCGGTGAGGACCACGAAGAAGATATCTGTAAATGTGAATAACGAAAAGACAGTGACCCTGTGAGGGATTCAACATTGGCAGAGGTAAGTCTGAGTCACTGTTTTCTATTCCATCACTGCTGTCTGAGTCACAACAACTATATGGAAGAAGGACGAGACATACAATTATTACTGTCACGATCATTATAACTTCATTCACAGTCATTATTAATTACAACTTGTATTATTTGACTGCTATTGATTAAGTGTATTTGGAGTAACAGTATGGTCTTGGCTTTTAGTTCACTTAATAACACTGGTTTTAAATCCAAAGTCTCATGGATATTAATAGTAATTTCCTCAAAATGATATCCTAATACTACTATTATTATTTATTATTATAATAGTAATAATAGTAACTGAATTGAACTCAAAAGGAAAGTGAAAAAGTTTTGTTAGGTTGCTTGATAATTTTAACCAATATTTAGTTTATAAAAATCCTGGATTTCAAGAATATGTTCCAGTTGAAGTAAAAGTATCAGTGTGTTAATGACAAAAGACTCCATTAAGAAGCAAGAGTGTAGCAGTATTACAAGCAAAGTGTGCTTTAAGTATGAAAAGTAAAAGTATACTCGTTTTGCATCAAAGAGGCCTCTATGTTTGACCTGAGAGCGCGGGAGTAGTTCAGTAGTCACATACCTAAAGGGTCACAAGATAAATCTGAGGGGTGGAGAGGAAAATACAAAGTTCTCTTGGGGAAATTTTAAGTAACTTTACGCAACAAACAATTATTCAAAGGAAAACATCAGAGAAGTTTAGAGGGTAAAAGTCTCTAATAACAAATCAAACATATCTGGAACAAGATGGGACCCAAATATAAAGAGGGACATAAGCTAAAAATGATTGAAAAAGGAAAATGTTTGAGAAAGAGTGAATCACTACAATGATGAGAGGTCCTTGAGTATGCAGCCATTACTGCCCGCCCAAAATAAAATGCAGTTTGCTGCAGCAGAATGCGAGATTAGCGTGGACAGACACAGTGGTGCACACTCACTCACTCATGGACGCACACAAGCGATTGCATGAAGAACAAATCCAGATTGTGCATGAAGCTAACATAGCCAGTAACTTACAGTCCAACAAAAGTAAAAATAGTGGAACAATAAAGATATAGTGCTTGATTAAACTTATTATAGTGTATAATTACCTTCATGGGCCGGCTGCTGCTTTCAAACCTGAACTGTGAGGAGAGATAGACGATAACTTCAAAGATCAACTGGATTGAAATTAATAGAAAACCCATAATGGTTTGTAATTACAGTAAAATCACATCTTTATTTCTGGAATATGTTCTGACACATGTCATGCAGTTTTTTGTATTTTACATTCTGCATATAAAAGCACTTTCTCTTCTTCAGGTGTTGGGATGAAGCTCCATGAGAAGATTTTGACCCATTACCTTTCATGCACCTCCCCAGTAGATAAAGAGGGATATCTCTACAAAAAGGTTTGAATAAACAAAAGACAGACAACATAGAGCGAATATTGGAGGCTAATGTAATAATCCCGCTTTACTTTGACAAACTTTCCTCACAGAAAGAGAGAAATGCCACCTACCAGCGGCGCTGGTTTGTCCTGAAGGCAAACCTGCTTTTCTACCAGGAGCGTCCCGCTGACCGACACCTGCTGGGTGTCATCGTGCTGGAGGGATGTGCAGTCCGGCGCTCTGAGTCTGATGTACAGTTTGCTTTTTCCCTGGTGTTTGAAGGGCCGGGACTCAAAACCTACAGATTTGCAGCAGGGGATGGTCAGACTCAAGAGAGCTGGGTGAAAGCTCTGCTCTCAGCCAGCCACTGTTACCTCTCCCTGCTGGTGAGAGACTTGGGGAGGCAGTATGAAGGTGTGTTCTGTTTCCTGGTGCCAATATACATTTCTATAGACTGAAGTTAATGGTTTTTTGTGTCTTTTTGATAACTTTTGTCTTTTCTAGACTTATTCTTCTGGTGGTAAATTATATGATAAAATCAGTGCAACCAGCTCCAGCCAGCTGAGAGTTAGCTTAGCTTAGCATAAATAATCAAATCAGGGGGAAACAACTATCCTGGCTCTGTCCAACGTTAAGGAAAGCCGCCTACCAGCACCATGATGCCGTTTTAAGTTGGTTATGTACTCTAAGCGGTTGCAAGGTGACAAGCAGAGACTTCAGGAAGTTACAGCTCCCAGCCAAGATTGTTGTCAAGCACATAATCCCCTGTAAAACTGCAAATTGTTTTTAAACTTTATTTTTAGTAAAACAATCAATGTAAGATACCTTTATTAACAATAATAATAATAATAATAATAATAATAATAATAATAATAATGCATTTTATTTGTAAAGCACTTTTCATTAAAAAAATCTCAGTGTGCCACAGAGCCAGTACATAAAAGACATAGTAAAAAACATAGTTAAAACATAGTTAAAACATAGTTAAAACATGGTTAAAACAAACTATAATAAAATAACTAGTAAGCATAAAAAAACAGTGAATGAACAGAAACACGAAAGAAATAACTGACAGCGATTTAGGTCAGAAACGCCTTCCTGAATAAAAAGGTTTTAGGCCAGTTTTAAAAGAGACCAGTGTCTGTGTTGCCCTTAGGTGGTCAGGGAGACTGTTCCATAGGCGTGGAGCTGCCGAGCCAAAGGCCCGGTCGCCCATGGTGCAGAGTGTTATGTGCTCATACTTCTGGACTCTCATCAGGATCCTGGCAGCGCTGTTTTGAATATATTGCAGCTTCTGGATGTTCTTGGCAGTGATCCCAGTGAATAGTGAGTTACAGTAGTCCAGTCTTGAGGAGATAAAGGCGTGGACGAGCTTCTCTGCATCTGACAGGATTAAAGTGGGGCGGAGTTTGGAGATGTTTTTGAGATGATAAAACGAGCTTTTGCACAGGTGTTTTATATGGTCATTAAAGGTCAGGTATGGGTTAAACCTAACTCCCGGATTAGTGACTGTGGAGGAGAGGGGGATGACCTGACCGTCGAAGGTGAGATGAGTTATGGAGGATGACTGAACCTGGTGTGGAGTGCCAACAAGGAGGGCTTCGGTTTTGCTACTGTTTAACTGGAGAAAGTTGTTGGTCATCCACGTCTTTATCTCCCCAAGACAGGCGGTGAGACATGACATGGCTGCAGAGGGGCTTGGGGCAGCTTTGATGTAGAGCTGTGTATCGTCGGCATAACAGTGGAAAGACATCCTATGTCTGCTGATGACACGACCGAGGGGGCGCATGTAAATAATGAAGAGGATGGGGCAGAAGAACGAGCCTTGCGGAACATCACAGGAGACAGGGAGCAGTCTGGACTTGCATCGTCCCAGTGAGACATATTCAGTTTAGTGGGGCTGGTAGACTGTTTTTGTTTTCCGTTTTCTCCCTGTTGTGCTAAGCTAAGCTAAACTGGCCACTAATTGCACCCAAACAAGAGTGTGATTTCTCTGCCAAAACTTTTCCATTGCGAAAGGTGCTTGTATAGATATGTTAATATATGCTTATTTCCATCTGCAGAAGCTAAACAGCAACGAGGCTCTGCTGAGTCCCGTCACAGCTCCTTCTTCAAGCAGTCCACCACCAACTTCTCCTTCCCTGTGCAGGGGCCAACAGCTGAGGTCAGGGAGGGCAGAAGCTTCAGCGCCAGCACTGTTTTACAAGCACCGTCAATACCCACCAAAGCAGTGGCTAAAAAGTCTCCTAAACTGTGGCCCAGGAGAAACGCTCACGTCACACCACTCAATGGACCGGCTCCTTTGTATGGCGAATGGCCTCTGGTGGGTTTTAATCCACTCGAGGACTTCAGCACACTTCATGATTACTATGGCCAGGAAGTGAAGAAAGCGAGAGAGGAATGGCGGAGGGGTCAACGAGCAGAAGAGGAACACATTGATGGAGATCTCATCGACCTGGGGTGAAAGAAAACCTACATCTCACTTCCATGTAAGAGGAAGTGAAATAATGCGTGTCAAAAAGGAACTGAACCTGAAGTGTTGTGGGTTCAACTGTATATTTCAGAACATCAAGTTTGAGGCCCAGACACCTGTAAATGTGCTAAATGTTCCCTCCATCTCATATGAGTTCAGATCATTTCTATCTTAGATTTGTTTTACAGAAAATTGGATATTTCTTGATCCCAAAGTGTCCATGGCATGCATCAAAGAACAAGGATTAGAAGTGCAGCTGGTGTCTGCACATCTGGATCATTTGGACATGAAGCAGTTATTTACATGGTGCAAATGATAATTTCATCCATGGTATAAAAATACTTTATGAAGAAGACGTTTGAAGCAGTGTTAAGCACAGTATTATATATTTTTCATTAACTGAAAAAATTTATTCTTTCGATCAAGATCCTATGATACAAACAAACATTACTTTTTAGTTCAGAGCATAAAAGAAAACGTTACTGGAAGATTCACAAGAAATCATTACACAAATTTTATAATTTACATTTTGTCAAAATGTCAGCCATGAAAAAGGCCCTCTATCCTTGTTTGTTCTGCTACTTAACCTGCACACCTGCTAATAATTGCATTGAAGATGTTTCTGTATATTTCCATCCTGAGCGGTATAGTATTCAAATTATGCCAGTTTGTATCTATGGCATAGAAAGGCTCTCTAATGCAGTATTAAGCAAATAGTATTATATATTTTTATTGCATGAAAAATAAAAATTGTTGACTGAAATGTCTCATAATTAGTTGGTTGAGCCATACATATGTCATATAAAATAACATTCTGATACACAAAATACAATGAGAAACAACTATTTAAAATTTTAGTCCAGATTGTGAAGTTTGATACATTCCCTCTCATGACCTGATTCAGCATGTTAAGCAAGCAGTCTGCAGGTCCTTTGGAAAGCTATCTTTCTGCAGGAACATTGTGTTGAGTTAAAACCAACTCAACCTAGAAGGGTGTTGTCTCCCTTATACACCGTGTAAAGTACAAGTGTCTACAGCCTTCCCAGTTAAACTTTACTCAACATAACCAATTTGGAGGGGGCCGAAAAATGACTCGGTGTGGCCACAAGGCACGGAAATGCCCTTCCCAAGGTCCTAGAACCTCAACCCTCACCCTCAGGTCCTAGAGCCTTGGAAGTGGGCTTTACCCCCACTAAAGCGGTCATTGCAGTCCGATTGGTATCAATCCCGAGCGAAACGGTGATCGTCTAAAATGTTTTGAAAGTTTGTGCTAGACTCCTGCAATTGTGTGTGTGTCTTCCTAGCACTCCGTAGCACCTTTGAGGTCTTTGCACTGGCTTCCTGTCAAACAAAGAATTGACTTTAAAATCCTGCTGTTGGTTTATAAAGCACTGAATGGTTTAGGGCCAAAACACATCTCTGATCTGCTGCTACCTTATGAACCATCCCGACCCCTTAGGTCGTCTGGGACCGGTCTACTTTCTGTTCCCAGAGTCAGAACCAAACATGGAGAAGCAGCGTTCAGTTTTTCTGCTCCACACATCTGGAACAAAGTCCCAGAAAGCTGCAGGTCTGCTGAGACCCTCAGCTCCTTTAAATCAAGATTGAAGACTTTTCTGTTTGCTGCTGCCTTTAATTGAACCAGATTCAATTAATATATTAATCAATTTGCTGCATTTCTGCATTTTACTACTGTATTTTATTTCTTACACTGTTTTTTAATGTTTTAATGACTGTTTTTATTGTTTCAATGAATGTTATTAATTGTTTTTAAATCTCCTTTTCTTTTGCCTTATGTTTTGATGCTTTTAACGGTTTTATGTGAAGCACTTTGAATTACCTTGTTGTTGAAATGTGCTGTACAAATAAACTTGCCTTGCCTTGCCTTGCCTTTGTTTCAAGTTTGGTGGCTGTAGCTTGTTCCTTTGGTATAGCTGTCATAGACTCCCATCGTTTTGGGCTGAGGGCGTGGCCAAGCACAGAATAAGGGTTAGGGTTAGGGTTAGGTTTGGGTGGGGACGTGGTCTCCTGGTGGAGGTCACGGGGGGCACGGGCACACATGGAAGGGTTAGGGTTAGGGTGATAGGAAGGTCTTGGGAAGAGGTAATAAATTGAAATTTGTGAAATCATGAATGTGATTTGAAGTTAGCTCACGAATGAGATTTTGAAGGGCTTTCATTTTGAAACTCAGTCTGTGCATCCATTTCCTCTCCGCTGCCCGCCGCTGCGCCACACTCCAATGTCTGTTGGAAGCTTACTGCCACGTCCAAACAGAAGTAGTATTGAGTCCACAGGGTTACAGCAACTGAGCAGGGATAAGTGCAGGTAAAGGTAACACGGTACCAGATGACAGGAAAACAAATAACAGCGGCTCAAACGCAATAAAACAAAGCAGCATTGACCATCTGGCAACTGACGGGGTGAAAGGGGCTGGTTTATGAGCTGCAGAGCTGCTGAGGGAAAGCAGGTGAAGATGGCTGAAAGGGGTTAACCTGATGGGCCCCTGGGCTTGTGCCCAGTAGGCCCCTTCAGTAAACCATCCATGTGTCTGGTGTCCAGGTAAAAGGCAAAGAAGGAGGAACCGGGGGATGTGGCAGGAAGAGATGGATGGAGAGAATGAATGTGACACAAGAAGTTTCCATTTCACGTAACAGCCCTTTTCCACAGCCCTAGATCTGTGATGTCAGTGGAGGAGGGTGAACAGCAGAGGGCGCTGCAGGCAGAGTGTGCTGCAGGGAAACACCTACTTTAGAGTGAAAGCAGCTGGGTTTACTCAGGAATAGCACAGTGATTTATGAAGCAGAGACAAACATAATGCAGCTGGTGTTTTGGGGGATTGAAGGGGCCTTTAATTAAGTTATCCGCTCACTACGACAGGGTTGATTGTAATTTAAATTGAATCAACTGGATTAATTAGACAAAACAACTGCTTATGAGTGAAAAATTATGTCTAAGTTTAAGAAGCTTAATAATCAGCCTCCTCCAAGTTCAATGCCAGCAGACTGAAAAAAAGCTAAATGTGACCTCTGACCTATACTTAAAATCAACTGCATGCTGATTTATGAAGCACAATGGAGTCAAATAACAAAACAGGTCAACCTGAGGCCAGTAGGTCCTCAAACAGAATATTATATACATCTCCCTGACCTCTGACATGTCACAAAGGTTCGCTGAGCTCGTGTTCCTCCATAGGACCAGCTGGGAGCTTCTCCACATTCCTGACCCTACAGACAGACATACCATCCACCTAAAAAGTGATAGATGGCTACAGGGGAGCGTGGCGACACGCGTCACGTTACAGCAATGATCGTAAAAGTGTTTCCACATCTGTATGGAAACACTTGTCAAGTCAGCAAACTGCAGCAGCAGACAGGTCTGTGAAAAGGTTGAGATGTCACAGCTTATTCTCATGATGATAACTGTGAATTATATCGTGTAACAAATCGTATTGCAGTAATATCGAGGAGTTTATAGAGATATTTCTTCTCAAAATGTTTTCATAGAACACATTTTCCTTTCCTCCTCAAATCTTGTCCTCTTATTTTATTTAGATTTTTCTTATCTTTCATCTTCACTTCTATATTGATTTGTACCTGTTCTGTTTCTGTGCTGCTCTAACAGCAGCATATCCCTTCGGTGGATCAATAATTATTAGATAAGATTATATAAGATAATTATAATTTTTAAGTTTTTCATTTAAGAGGTTTTGTTTGATATCGAATGTAAAGCCAAAGTCTAAGAAATATATTCATGTAATCGAGCATCTGTCTAAGCTTGCACCTCAAAACGTCAGAACATATTTCATTCCTGTAAGGAGGTGTCGATGAGCTCGTGAACCTGGGGTCATAGGTCGCCAGCAACACAAGGGGAGGTCTGACGGCTACAGCGTCGGCTCTGGATGTCCTTAACACCAAAGTAAAGGAAACAGACATGACGAACAGACCATCAGTGTGGAAACACAAACAATCACGACCAGAGAGCTGAGACAGGGGACAGAAATAAAGTCCTCCAATGCAGAAGATTAGCAAAGTTATTAATGAAATGAAAGCAGATTATCTCTGAGGTAAATTTGGATATAAAACCTGAAAAAGCTAATGAAGGAAAGCATTTCGTTCTCAGGGCCCAGCGCATTGGCAGACTGTCAAGTTTATTTAGATATTTTGGTCGAGCTCAGCTGTCCCTTTTATGCTCTTCTGGGAATGCAGCTGCCATCACCCTGCTGAGTAATCCCCGTGTATTTAAGGGGGAGGAATGGCAGGAGAGATGTGTGTGTGTGTGTGTGTGTGTGTGTGTGTGTGTGTGTGTGTGTGT